CCTATTCTGTGCCTTATCTAGACTTAACTGGTTGGTTCTTCAGATTTGGGTGTTATTGACCACTCATGTGGCTGCACTAAGATGGGAAGTTGGTTAGGGCTGAAACTTCCAAATTGGTTTCATTCACATGTCTGGTGACTCAGATGTGGTTCCTGCCATGGCTGGGATGGGCCTTTTTCATTCCAAGTATTTTTTGATATTTAGTAATCTAGCCCAAACTTACTTAGTTGCTGGCTATATTTCTAAAAGATAAAAGCACAAAATGCAAGGCTTCTTAAGGTCTGTGTCTAGAACTGGTATGACATCACTTTTGGCACATTTTATTCACCAAAGCAAGTCAAAAGACCCACCCAGATTCAAGGGATGGAGAAAGAGACTCTACCTCTTTTTTTCCCTTTTTTTTAAAAAATATTTTATTTATTTATTCTTTTTTTTTTAATTTTTATTTATTATTTATGATAGTCACACACACACAGAGAGAGAGAGGCAGAGACACAGGCAGAGGGAGAAGCAGGCTCCATACACCGGGAGCCTGATGTGGGATTCGATCCCGGGTCTCCAGGATCGCGCCCTGGGCCAAAGGCAGGCGCCAAACCCCTGCGCCACCCAGGGATCCCTTATTTATTTATTCTTGAGAGACACAGAGTGAGGGAGGCAGAGACACAGGCAGAGAGAGAAGCACACTCCATGCAGGGAGCCCGACGTGGGACTCGATCCTGGGACTCCAGGATCAAGGCCCGGGCCAAAGGCAGGCACTAAACTGCTGAGCCACCCAGGGATCCCTATATTTAAATATTTATTCATTTGAGAGAGAGTGAGTGCGGGGGGGTGGGGGGGGCAGAGGGAGAGGGAGAAAGAGTCCTAATCCCCCAATGTAGGGCTCAATCTCATGGTACTGAGATCATAACCTGAGCTGAAACCAGTCTGATGCTTAACCAACAGAAGCGGTTAAGAGGTTATGCAGATTAGGTTATGCATAATTTAGTAGCATCATTCAGGCACCCCTGGACTCTATCTCTTAATGAGAGAAGCAACATGTACATTCAGGCAGGAATGGGAAGAATTTCTGACAGCTATTTGAAAATAATCTATTAGAAGGAATGATAGTGCTAAAAATAGTAAACAGGTAAATATAAAAGGCAATATATAGGGATGCCTGGGTGGCTCAGCAGTTGAGCATCTGCCTTTGGCTCAGGGCATGATCCTGGAGTCCCAGGATCGAGTCCCACGTCGGGCTCCCTGCATGGAGTCTGCTTCTCTCTCTGCCTGTGTCTCTGCCTCCCTCACTCTGTGTCTCTCAAGAATAAATAAATAAAATATTTTTTTTAAAAAAAGGCAATATATTGGGGGATCCCTGGGTGGCTTAGTGGTTTGGTGTCTGCCTTTGGCCCAGGGCATGATCCTGGAGTCCCGGGATCAAGTCCCGCATCGGGCTCCCTGAGTGGAGCCTGCTTCTCCCTCTGCCTGCTTCTCCCTCTGCCTGTGTCTCTGCCTCTCTCTCTCTCTCTGTCTCTCATGAATAAAAAAAAAAGGCAATATATATGTTTCTTCTCTTAATTTCTTTAAAGTACATTATGACCATTTAAAGTAAAAATGACAATGAATGTACATGTAGCACATAAGACAATAAAGCACAAAGGACTTAGGAGTGGTGGTAAATAAAGCCATACACGGTAAGGCTCTTTTATTTTATGTGAAGTATCACAATTTTAACTCTAAGTAGATATTAGTAGATGTAACTTAAATTATCAAATTTAAGAATGCATAATTCCTTACAACTTTGCTAAAACAATAATGCAAAAAAGGCATAGTTAAAAGCCAACAGAGGAATTCAAATGGAACACTAAAGCATTTGATTAATCCAAAGAAATGACAATAAGTGAAGAACAGAGGAGAGGAACACAAAACTAATGAGACAAACTGAAAAAAATATCAAAGTGATAAACTTAAATTCGACAATATAAATTATTACAATTAACACAAAAGGATAAAGCACATCAATTAAAAGACAGAGATTGTCAGATTAAATTAAAAACAGGAAGATCCAACTAAGTACTGTGTATAAGGGAATCACTTTAAAAAAAACATATATAGGTTGACCACATAAAGATGGAAAAATATAAAACCTACAAACAGTAAGCTAAGAAAGCTGCAATGACTGTATTAATATAAGAGAAATTTCATTTCAAGATAAGAAGGGTTATCAGAGGGCAGCCCCGGTGGCGCAGCAGTTTAGCGCCGCCTTCAGCCCAGGGTGTGATCCTGGAGACCCAGGATTGAGTCCCACATCAGGCTCCTTGCATGGAGCCTGCTTCTCCCTCTGCCTGTGTCTCTCATGAAAAAATACATAACGTCTTTTTTTTTTTTTAAAGAAGGGTTATCAGAGACAAAGGATTTTTCATAATGATAAAATGGTTATATCATCAGAAAGACATAAGAGCTATCAGTTTAATGTGATCAATAAAACTTCCAAATATGTAAAGGAAAACCTGATAAAACTAAAGAAGAAATGAATCTACACAGTGTATGCATTTTTAACTCCCCTATCTAAGAAATTAATAGCAGCACTGTATGTGAAGTCAGTGATAGAAGATTTGAACGAAACTATCACCTACCTCAACCTCATTGACACTGATGCTCAACAACAGCAGGGCACATTGCTTTTTCACTGCCCATGGAACGTTTACCAAGATAGATCATATTTGGGGGGATAAGTCTCAACAATTCTTACAATATTGACATCTGACAAAGTTTGTTTCTGATCACATCATAAATAAATTGGTAATCTCTAACTAGACTGATGGAGAAAAGAAAGATGGAAAATACAAATGGCTGATACCAGTATTTTAGATATCTATTGCCATATAACAAACAATTCCATAATTTAGTAGCTTCAAACAAAAATTTTATTTTTGGAATTTTATTTTGCTCATATTTTGGAAGCCAGGAATTTGTAGAGTTCAGTGGGAATAGCTCACCTCTCCTTCATGTTGTCAAGTAGATTCACTCAAGCAGTTGTATTCAGCAGTAGACTGATCTGGGTCACAAGGTCCATGAAAGTTTGCCTCAGATGTATGGAATTAAGATGTAGACTGTGGGCTTCATGTGGCCTCTCTCCATGTGGTGTTTTACCCGTTAGGAACTTTTTTCTTCATGTGGACTTTCCTGTACAATTGCTTGAACTTCTTTATGAGGGGTTTGGGGCATCAAATGGGCAAAAAAATGGAGCCATGCCTTTGAGAATACAGTTGTTTGTTTTTTTCCTCAATTCTGAGCCTGGGGTGGGATCTTCATCCATATACTTTATAGAGAGTTTATAGTTAGATAGTATCTTCCTCTATATTATTATGTAAGCTGCCTTTGTTTTATCTTTTCATTTTTGCTACACTTTTTTATCTTGTCCATATTATCAGCTGTGATCTAGTATAGACTGTTTATGATGATGTCTTTCCAACTGTTTGGTTGTCTAAAGCTTGTTCTTTATTAGACTGCGGGGAATAAAATAGAGTGTTTGTGGCAATCACTGAAGGGTTTGTGGAAACAATATTTTCTAAATAAGTTTGCAGTTTTTCAAAGATGTTATTTTTGAAGATTTTATTATTTATTTGAGAGAGAGAAAGAGAAAGCACAAAGAGGAGGAGAGCAGAGGGAGAAGCAGGCTCCCAGCCCAGCAGGAAGTCTGATGTGGGGCTCAATCCCAGGATCCTGGAATTGTGACCTGAGTGGAAGGCAAATACTTAACTGAGCCACCTGGGCTGCCCTTAAAAAAATGTTATTATTATATTAAGTTGTTCTTCAGCATAACACAATTGTAAAGACATCTTTATGCTTCTTAGAATATGTTTTCTTCTAGATTGGAGTCTAGAAACCTTCTGTATGCTTCATTTTGTTTTATATTTGCATTTTTGTCATCTTTTTTTTTTAAATCTTGTTTACACTATGGATGAGTTGTTTTCATTTTACTGTCTTCACCTACCACATGTTTTGGTTTTTAAAGATTTTATTTATTTATTCATGAGAGACAGAAAGAGAGAGAGAGGCAGAGACACAGGCAGAAGGAGAAGCAGGCTCCATGCAGGGAGCCCGATGTGGGACTCGATCCGGACACCCCGGGGTCACACCCTGGGCCGAAGGCGGTGCTAAACCGCTGAGCCACCGGGGCTGCCCTGATCGTCTCACTTTTGACGCCTCTCTGCCTCTCTCCCGTATGTTCATCAACATTCTTCAGGAAAAATGACCCCAGACGTGTCCCCAGAGCCATCTCTGCCGAGAGGGCAAAAAGACATTCTTGCCCAAAATTTGGGGACATATATAAATTCAAAGTTAAAACTTTAATCAACGAGAAAAACAAGATTTCGAGGAAGCGGTTAAGAGGTTATGCAGATTAGGGGCGGCCTGGGAGGCTCAGCGGTTCGGCCCCCGCCTTGGGCCTAGGGCGTGACCCAGGGCTCCCGCGATCGAGTCCCGCGTCGGGCTCCCTGCGTGGAGCCTGCTTCTCCCTCTGCCTCTCTGTGTCTCTCATGAATAGATAAACAAAATCTTAAAAAAAAAAAAAAAAAAAAAGAGGTTCTGCAGGTTTATCTCGGTCAGGACCCCGTCCCCTCCCCACCCGCCCCGCCCGACGCCTCCTAACCCTTAGGCCGAGCAAAACTCTAAAGGCCCCGGTTCCGTGAATTACTCGGTGCGGTGCGATTCCGCTCCTCTGACTGCTCACCTCATCCATCATCCCGTCGTCCCGGTCTCCAGGGGCACTTAGAGTCCCGCATTCCTCCACCGGGACCCACTAGAGGGTTAAAGACAGGACCCACCCCGAGGGGGGGCAGCGGCCCGCAGCCACTTCCGGGGTCGAGCCGCGGAAGGAGACGCCTCCCGCGGGAGGAGGGGTTAGGGGCGGGGCCGCGTCTGCGCACCGCCTGAGAGCGCAGGTGTGCGAGGGGGCGGCTTTGCGCATGCTCGCAGCGAGGCGTCTCTAACTCCGCTTCCGGTGGCGGTTAGCTCTCGCGGGGCCCCAGTCGCCGCGCTGCGTTAGAGCCGCGGAGAAGTTTGGGCGTCGGGCAGGTGAGTGCCGCTGCTTTTGTCCGTCGGTCCTCGCCGCCGTGCAGAGTAGCACCCGAAGGGCTGCGCTAGGATTCACCCTGTTCTGCTGATGTTTTTTTTTTCTTGATGTTCTGAAACCCTTATTTCTGAGAACGAGGCGGAAGGGGTGGAGAAGCTATGATGGTTACCGTGGCAACTGCGGGGGGCACCCACTTAGTTTTTGAGAATTTGGGAAGGGAGAGCTTTTTCTGTAAGGGCTCGTTAAAATACACGTGTTTCGGGTGTTATTTCAAACCCATGCTCCTAAACCGCAGAATTTGATTTTTTTTAAAGATTTTATTTATTTTTTTCACGAGAGACAGAGAGAGAGAGAAAGAGGCAGAGACACAGGCAGAGGGAGAAGCAGGCTCCATGCAGGCAGCCCGATGGGGGACTCCACCTGGGACCCCAGGTCATGACCTTTGCAGAAGGCAGACGCTCAACCGCTGAGCCACCCAGGTGACCCTCAGTCCTGTCTTCCTACCCCCTCCTCTACATGGACCCAAGACTATTCATGCCAAGTAGTTTGATGCCAACTTTGATGTCCTAGAATATTGTCTTCACTTTTCTTATGTTGGCTTAACTTAATTAAGCCCCTCAGTTTTTTTTCAATATGAACATGGAAGAAAATAATTATAGTTTCCTCTGGATTTTTATAGGAATTAACGAGATAATTTAAAAGCTTGGTGGTAAAGAAAGAGACCAATACATATTAACCATTGCTACTGTTACTGTGGTTGTGTTGTTTTATTATTATGTATCATTTTGCTTTTTCTTCCTCTAAGCTTGAGCTGTTATTTTTATTTATGTATGTATTTATTAAGGTGCACTATATTATCTATCTTTGTTCTTGTAACATAGTAAAGATTAAAAAGTTTTTTTGAATGGATCATTTATTTTGGCTGTTGCTGACATAATTTTACTCTCTTCTTTAAAGGAACTACCTGGGGGTGCCTGGGTGACTCAGTCGGTTAAGCATCTGCCTTCAGCTCAGATCCCAGGGTCCTGGGATCCAACCCCGAGTGAGGCTCCCTGCTCAGTTGGGGCCGGGGGGGGGGGGGGGGGGGGGGGGATGGATTTGCTTCTCCCTCTGCTCCTTCCCCCTGCTTGTGCACTGGCTCTCTCTCTTTCTCTCTCCCTCTCTCCCCCCCTTGCTCTCTCTCAAATAAATGAAATCTTTTTTTTTTCTTAAAGGAGTGACCTAGTAGATAATTAATTTTGCTAATTGAATGTTATTTATTAGATAAAAAGATGGCATTTTTTTTTCTGTTTAAGAATTCTGTGAAATAAGATATACAGAAAGGAACTGATAATCTCAATTTGGAGCAGGTATGAGTGATTTCAGTGAAGAATTGGTAAGGTCCAAGACAGAGGATGAGCAAGAGGAATCATGCATGTTCTCTGGTACAGGAATGTCCTTTCCTTGGCTCCAGAAGCATATAGAGACTGTGGGTAAGTAAAATCACATACAGCCATTTTAATTGTAATGCAGGGAGATGATAAAACTCTGGATACAAAGTGAATAACCAAACTGGTTTACTCGGTTTTCAGGATGGGACTATATAAGGGTTTTTGAGGCTGTAAGAAAAAAAAAAAAAAGATCCTTTTTTCTATTTTTCCTTTGAACTAATAGCAGCCTGTATTATGGTAGGTACACTTTTTGTTTGTTTGTTTTCTCTATCAGTACTTACTAGGAACTGAGCAGATAGGTTTAAGTCCAGAATTTACATATTTAGAAATGTTTCATAAGTTATGGATAGCCTGTTAAACCCAAAAACTTTATGTCTGCAATGAGAAAATAATTTCAGGTAATATTGACATTGTAGTGATTAAAAAAAAAATAGCCATAATAGGAAAACAGAATTGCCTAGCAATTGCTTATTTTTTATTCTAGTAGATATCTTTTGGGGTTTTGAAGGGTATGCCCCCTAGAATAAAAACTTCGAAGACAGAGGCCAATCTGGATTAAAACTGAATTTTGAGTACCTTAGAATAGTACTTGGCTCAAAATAGTGCTCAAAAAATATTTGTTGACTGACACATTTCCAGGTTTTTTCAGGGGCATTAGAGATAGGTTGATGGCACTTGTTCTTTATTGTACCTCATTCTGTGTCAAAATTTCTTTTCCTAGGCAATTATTTTTGAAAGTGTATCGGCAACAAATAGGATCATCTTTTGCTCATAAAAGAATGAAGTGAGAGATATTAGTAGGGTAACTAGGCTAATTTGGAAGACAGAAGGAGAATTTTCCAAGGATGTAAGGACACTAGTCTAAAGTCCAATTTCCATTCTGAGTAGTGAAAACTTGAGGGGTAGATGGGAGCTTGGCCTGAGGTCAGTCCTCCTTTATGTGAATAAATGAGGTTTTAAGGGAGAGGTGTTTTGTCACTTTCCCAGACTACCTCCCTGGTGTTGCTGTTAGTCCTGGGCAGCGTGTGTGTATATCTTGCTAAATGTAGCTTCTTATTCAGAGAGCTGGGTGGGGCATATTATTCTGCATTTCTGATAAGATCCCCAGGGATGGTAAGGCTTTTGTTTGTAGGAGCACACTAAATAGTAAGCATCAGGATCGCCAGGTGATCTGTGTGTATTTTTTTTTTTTTAAGATTTTATTTATTTATTCATGAGAGACAGAGAGAGGCAGAGACCCAGGGAGAGGGAGAAGCAGGCTCCATGCAGGGAGCCTGATGTGGGACTTGATCTGGGGACTCCAGGATCACGCCCTGGGCTGAAGGCAGGCGCTAAACCACTGAGCCAGGCAAGGATCCCAGATCTGTGTGTGTGTGTGTGTGTGGTTTTTTTTCCTGTGTGTATTTTTAAAAAGTTTGAGAAGCACTATTGTAGAGCAGTAGTCTTCAAATCTGTTTTTCTCCCATATTCTCTTTTTTAAAAAATCACATATTGCTTTGCACGGTTTTAAGATACCATCTAAAAATTGTAAGTTTTAAAAAAATAAAACAAAAAAAATAAAAATTGTAAGTTTAATAGTTGCAAAAGATATAATTTCCACTATAGGTTGCCATTTTTAAATGAAATTCATTTACTACTTTTACAAATATATCCAGTGAAATCTAAAGAACATAGGAATGTGATATGCCTTTCATCATCCATTTAAAAATATTTATGGGGATCCCTGGCTGGCGTAGCGGTTTGGCGCCTGCCTTTGGCCCAGGGCGCGATCCTGGAGACCCGGGATCGAATCCCACATCGGGCTCCCGGTGCATGGAGCCTGCTTCTCCCTCTGCCTGTGTCTCTGCCTCTCTCTCTCTCTCTCTCTCTCTGTGACTATCATAAATAAAAAAAAATAAAAATAAAAATATTTATGAAAAAGATTTTAAGTGATGGAGATTTTATATTGTTTATTTTCCTTTCATATTTTTATCTTTGCGATAAAGCTATGTATCTACTTTTAATCTACCTTTAATTATTTTTTGTTAATATCCGATAAGGCTTAAAGTATTAAAATTTTGTCTGGGGTGAGACATTTTAATTAATAGTTGTATACAGCTGATGAAAACATAAGTATTAAAAGTTGTGTTAAAATTTGATTAAAAGTAAATTTTTATTGCTTCTTTATTTTAATAAAATAAACAAGGTTGGGATGCTGGGTGGCTCAGCAGTTGAGCGTCTGCCTTCGGCCCAGGGTGTGATCCTAGAATTTCAGTATCAAGTCCCACAGTGGGCTCCCTGCATGGAGGCTGCTTCTCCCTCTGCCTGTGTCTCTGCCTCTGTCTCTCCATGCCACTCATGAATAAATAAATTATTTAAACAAATAAAAAATTAAAAAATAAGGTTATCATTTTTTTCCAATTATTTTAAATATCTCTGAAGGAATATATGTATTTCCAGAGTGGGAAAAGATTTAGCTCTGATTCTATTTTGTTTTCATTGATACATTTCTGAGAACTCTTAGTTACATAAGTGAGTAGATGGCACCAGATAGAGTTTAATCATAGCAGTATATAAGGTTTTTGAATTTTTGAAGAACTCATGATGAAATTGTGTAAGGATCTATTATAAAGAATTATTCAGCCCTTCCACACTTAAAAAAAAAAATGATTTATTATTTTAGAGAGAAAGAGCGAGAGCGAGCGAGCGCCCGGAGAGCAAGCCAGGGAGAGCCTGAGGAGAGAGGGAGAGGGTTAGAGAGTCCCCAGCTGAGGGCAGAGTCTGATGCTAGGTTTGATCCTAGGACCCTTAGATCATGACCTGAGCCAAAATCAGGAGTGCAATGCTCAGCCAACTGTGTGCTCGACTATGCCACCCAGGTGTCCCCCACACTTTTGATAGCAAAGACTTGGAAAACACCCGATTTGCAAAAGGGTGTGTTGTAGTCATTCACTTTCTCAATATTTACCCTTATATTCTCACCTTAAGGTAATATACAATGATTTCAGTTGTGCAGCCTTGACTGTAGAACAACAATTCTCTAGGAGATTAATTTTAGGAAAGAGTATGAGGAAAGTGAAGATCTGCAAGTTGATTTCTCTCAAACTATCTTTGCACAGTGCCTCTATGTGTCTGTGTATTCCCGGGGGTCAGGGTACCCTTGATGGAAGACCGCTGGCCTATAGGGGTCCTATGGTGGTGTGGAAAGAGAAGAGGAGGTGGCAGTGTGCAACCAGTCACTCCTAAATCGAGGTTGTAACTAAGTCCAGATATTCTTAACGTGAAGATTGTCCATACTTTAGAGAGATAAATGCTAATGTCTATTACCGTTAAATCCCATTTGTATTTAATATCATTGAGTTACTGGGAACTTGAAATATAAAAACTCACCTTTTGGAGTTTTTAGAATGCTGCTAGGTAGTAAAGACCATGCTTGTCTAGGATAACCTAATGATTTTTACCCATTCAAAATATTTGGGTCTTGCTTTTGGGGCCCTCTTTGGGAGATATTATGCAGATTGTTGAGTGCAAAGATAAAAGGATGATTGAGTCAGATTTGGAGCCTCTGGTACTCTGGTAGCCCAAAAATATTAAATTAGGTATCTCCAAATTAGACATTTTTTTTTTCATTTGCTAAGACTAGTCAAAATAGTGTGGAAGAGTTTGTTTCAAGTAAAACTTGCTTTGATATTAGGGATGGCCTATTAAGTTATAACTGCTGTTCCACTTGATAAAACTTCTGCTTATCAGAAGTAAGTTTTTTAAACTTGAATTGGAATCACTGTGGTTAAAGACTTTTCTCTTTAATCTGTAGCAACTGGAGGGAAAAAGGAGAAGGATTTTGCTCAGACAACAAGTGCTTGTTTGAGTTTTATTCAAGAAGCTCTGCTGAAGCACCAGTGGCAGCAAGCTGCAGAATACATGCACAGTTATTTTCAGATCTTGGAAGATTCAGATAGCTACAAGAGGCAGGCCGCACCTGAGGTAAGTGAAGTGTGAGTCTGCTGGAGGAGATCACAGATACTTGAGTTTCTGCCTAAGCTGGTCCCTGAATGGCATTTGCAGGATCTCAAATTGATTTTTCTAAAAGCTATTAAAAGTAGTTTTGGGTGGAGAGTTTGTATTGGAACATTGTTTCTCACAATTCTTTTACTTATCAGGATTTTTTTTTTTTAAAGATTTTATTTATTCATGAGAGGCATAGAAAGAGAGGTAGAGACAAAGGCAGAGGGAGAAGCAGGCTCCATGCTGGGAGCCCAATGTGGGACTCGATCCGGAGGACTCCAGGATCAGACCCTGGGCCGAAGGCAGACACTAAACCGCTGAGCCACCCAGGTGTCCCTACTTATTAGGATTTTTTTTTTTTTTTTTAGATTTTATTTATTTATTCATGAGAGACACATAGAAAGGGAGGCAGAGGGAGAAGCAGGCTCCATGCAGGGAGCCCGATGCGGGACCTGATCCTGGGACTACAGAATCATGCCCTGGGCCAAAGGCAGGCACCAAACCACCGAGCCACCCAGGGATCCCCTACATATTAAGATTTTAAAGGAAACTCAAAAGTGTGAACTCTGAACTCTCAGATTCCCCACTATTCATATCTTCCAATAATTATTCTCTCCCTGTATCATTTCCCCCCTCTCTGTAGAATGTTTCCTATCCCCATACAAACATATTATTTCTTCCATCTTAAAATCCTCTCTTGACCCCCACTTCCTCCACAGGTGTGCCCAATTATCCCATTTCCACTTTCAGCAAAACCCCTTAAAAGACTATGAATACTTGTTCTAAGCCCTCTCCAGTTAGGCTCCCCTGATCACCAGCATCACCACTTCTTCCAAATTACTTTGTCGGGGATCCCTGGGTGGCTCAGCGGTTTGGCGCCTGCCTTTGGCCCAGGGCGCGGTCCTGGAGTCCCGGGATCGAGTCCCGCGTCGGGCTCCCGGTGTGGAGCCTGCTTATTCCTCTGCCTGTGTCTCTGCCTCTCTCTCTCTCTCTCTCTCTATGTCTATCATGAATAAATAAATAAATAAATCTTGAAAAAAATGTTTAAAAAAAAAATCAAATTACTTTGTCAAGGTCAACAGTGCCCAGTTCTCAGTGCTCATAGAACTTGCTCCGTCAGCAGTGTTTAAGACTGTAGATCACTCCCTCCTGTGTGATAAACTTTCTTTATCTGGCTTCCAGTACACTACAGCATCTCTCTCAGTTTTCTCTCACCTCACTGGCTTTCCTCAGCCTCATTCTGCGAATGCTCTTTGTCTCTCGGCCTTTTGACTCAGTCTTTAGTCTTCTTTATCTGAACTCACCTCTGGTGATCTCATTCAGTTTTATGTCCTTAAATTTAGTCTATATGGTGGACAATTCCCAATTGTATATCTGTGGCCCTGACATCTCTTCATGTCCATGTTCCCATATCCCAGCATTCATATCCCACATCACCACTTGGATAGTGAACAATCCTGTCACACTAACATAAAATAGGTCTTCTGATCTTCACCATCAAACCTAATTTTCCTCATCTCAGGTGATGGTTATTTTATGTATCTAATCACTGGGGCCAGATTCTTTTTATTGTTTTGTTTTTGTTGTTGTTTGTTTTTTTGGGGGGGAGGGGGCAGATTCTTACGTTCTCTTTCTTTTATGCCCCCTTATCCAAACCATGAAAAAGTCCTGTTGGCTCTGCTTTCAAAATTCAGTCTGAGGGGTGCCTGGGTGGCTCATTCAGTTAAGTGTTTGACATCAGCTCAGGTCACAAGCCCAGAATCCTGGGCTTGAGCGCACACGTTGGGCTCCCCGCTTGTTGGGATGTCTGCTTCTCCCTCCCTCTGCCCCTTCCCTACCTCATGTGTGCTCACTCACTTGCTTCTCATTCTCTCTCAAATAATAAAATCTTTAAAAAAAAATTCAGTCCAAATACCTCTCACCCCTGCATTGCTGCATGCTGATCCAAGCCACTGTCCCCTCACTTAGATGACTGCTTGCCATCCTGTGCCCCCCCAGTTTCTTTTCAACATAGTGACCAGGGTGATCCTTTTAAAAAAACGGTTTTATGATTAACACATACAGTTCACACATTTAAATTGTACAATTCAGTATTTTTTCATATATTCACAGAGATGTGCAGCCATTACCACAATCTGAATTTCAAACATTTTTGCTCCCTCCCGCCCCCAAACAACCCTATGCCCACTTGAGGTCACTCACTATTCCTCCCTTCGTTACCCCATTCCCCAGCCAACCACTAATCTACTTGCGATTCTGGATATTCCATGTAAGTGAATTTTATGATACACAACCTTTGGAGGTTTTTTTTTTTTTTTTTTTTTTTTTTTTTTTTTTTTTTTAATTATTGATAGTCACAGAGAGAGAGAGAGAGAGAGAGAGGCAGAGACACAGGCAGAGGGAGAAGCAGGCTCCATGCACCGGGAGCCCGACGTGGGATTCGATCCCGGTTCTCCAGGATCGCGCCCTGGGCCAAAGGCAGGCGCCAAACCGCTGCGCCACCCAGGGATCCCGATACACAACCTTTGTACATGACTTTTTTCCTCCAGACATAATGCTTTCAAGTTTAGCTTCATTGCAATATGTATTAGTATTTCATTCCTTTCATTTTCTTTTGTAATTTATTTTAGAACAAGAGAGTCCATGTGTGTTGGGGTGGGGGGAGGAGAAAAGAGAGAGAAGCTTACTTCACTCTGAGCAGAGTCCAATGCTGGACTCGATCTCATGAGAGATCATGGTCTGAGCCAAAATCAAGAGTTGGATGCTCAACTGACTGAGCCACCCAGGTGCCCCAGTGTTTCATTCCTTTTTATTGCAAAGTAATATTCCATCACATTTTATGTATCGCTTCATCAGTTGTTAGACATCTGAGTTGTTTGCACTTTTTGGTTATAATTAATGCTGCTATGAACATTCACGTGCACACTTTTGTTAGGGATGCTGGTTGAAATTTCTCTTGGGTATGTACCTGGGAGTGGAGTTGTGGGTCATACAGTAACTGTGTTTAACCTCTTGAGGAACTACCAGATGGTTTTCCAAAGTGGCTGCACCATTTTACATCAGCTCCCTACCCCCCAGCAATCTGTGAGGGTTCCAATTTCTCCACAGGCTTGCCAGCTTTTGTTACTGTGTCTTCCTGATAAAAGCCGTGCTAGTGGTTAGGGAGTGGTACCTCATTGTGGTTTTGATTTGTATTTCCCCAGTGGCTAATGATGCAGCATGATCCTTTTAAAACACAAGCCAGATCATGTCACTTCTGTTCTGGAAACTGTAATGACTTCCCATTTCACTCAGAGAAAAGCCAAAGTCCCTATGACTGCCAGCAAGTTCTGTATGGTCTGCTCACTCCCTCTCCCCCTTTGACCTCTCTGACCTCATTTCCTGTTACTCAGATATTTGTTTTATTTTTTCCTCCAAACTCACTAGCTCCCTGTTCTTGCTTGAACAGGCCGTCTGTACTTTTGCCTGATTGCCTTTGCCTTAGCTGTTCCTTTACTCGGAAGGGTCTTTCTTCAGATACCACTATTGGTTATCCATCAAGTCTCATTTTCAGCAAGGCCTCCAGTGACTGTTTAAAATTGCAGCTCCAGGGATCCCTGGGTGGCGCAGCGGTTTGGCGCCTGCCTTTGGCCCAGGGCGTGATCCTGGAGACCCCGGATCGAATCCCACGTTGGGCTCCCGGTGCATGGAGCCTGCTTCTCCCTCTGCCTGTGTCTCTGCCTCTCTGTCTCTCTCTGTGTGACTATCATGAATAAATAAATAAAATATTTAAAAATAAAATAAAATAAAATAAAATTGCAGCTCCATACCACCTCTCCACTTTCCAGCAGTCACTCCTGATTCCTTTTGCCTGCTCCATTCTTTTCCCACAGTACTTGCAATTTAATTATTCTATTTCTTGGTTATTGTCTCTCTACAATAGAATGTAAATTTCATGAGAGGAGGGATCTTGAACAGGGCCTAGAATATACTTATAAATTTCTTCAGTAATATACAGTTTACCTATAAATAACTTCACATGAATATCTCAAGTAGCTTTGACTAGTACAGTAAGCATTGCATCAATTAGATAATTTGGTGGAGCCAAAATAAAATCTGAGAGAAAAAAATTAATTATTGGTTAAAAATTTAGTTTATGGACAAAGCTAATGTGCATCTATTAAACACTGGACAAGTTTATAGGTTAGGTTCTTTTTGTTCAAAATTGTATTATAAGATGAAGGATTTGAATCCTTGGTTTTCAGACACTTGTCTGCCTCTTTTTTTTTTTTTAAGATTTTATTCATTTTGAGAGGAGAGAGAGCCAATATGAGTGGCGGGACAGGGAGAGGGAGAAGCAGACTCCCTGATGAGCATCGTGAATTCCCCCCCACCCCCCACCCCACCAAAGTGGGGCTTGATTCCAGGACTTTGAGATCATGACCTGAGCCAAAGTCAGCCACTTAACTGACTGAGCCACCCAGGTGCCCCATCTGCCTCTTTTTGAATTAGCTAGGGCTTTTGTTGAAAATACAGATTCTTGTGCTCCACCCTATACTGAATCAGAATATTTATATTTAGCAAGAGTCCTAGGTAATTCTTATACATAACTAGGTTTAAGAACAGCTGTGGTAGAAAATCTACAAATTTTCTTTAAGCTCCAGAGACTATAGTTTGGTTATTCTACAAAGGAAATCTTAACCTCTTTTTTTTTTTTCTGAGTTGGGAAGGTAAGTATTATGATTATACCAAACAACTATTATGTCTGTTCACAGAAAGAATTGATTTAAAATTCTCTTAAATTTACTTTTAAGGTCAATAATGGAATACTTTAAATTGGGGCAAAAGAAATAGACTTTCGCCCCCATGAAAAAGAAGGGCTCCAAGTTCTATCAAAGTTCTGGTGCTCTGGGGAGAAATCATACTTTATTAAAATTTGGCTGTAGCCAATGACAAATTTTAAGTTATAGTTCTAAATATAGGTTAAATATAGTCTGTAGTTACAGAGCTTAGTGATGTCTCAGGAAACATCTAGTCTGTTGCTCTCATTTTGTGGATAATAAAGATGAGACCAAGAGCAGTGAAGAACCAAGTTTTCTGACCTTAATATTCTTGCCCCATACTAATTAAAAATTCTGTCTTCAATAGACTACCTTCTTTAGACTACTACCTTTAAAGTGGCACTAGTATAGCCATCTGGTATTTTAATTTAATTGGAAAAAAACTTTCTTGCGTAAGATAAAGTATTTAGTTTTACTGGGTGAAATGAAAAACAGTAAAATGTTGACAGGAGTGTTATCTGGGAAAATGAATTATAGGTTGTAAACAGAACAAAAATAGCATTCTTAGAAATTTGTTAAGGTACGGATTTTACATTTTTATTAGTAACTTCTGTTTTGATAGATTATTTGGAAGCTTGGAAGTGAAATTTTGTTTTATCATCCCAAAAGCAACATGGAGACTTTCAATACCTTTGCTGACAGGATGAAGAATATTGGTGTCATGAATTACTTAAAGGTGAGAATGCAGGCTTTGTGAATTTACATTTGCAATGTTCATTTTTTTAAAAATAGTTTGAGGGATAGGTAGGTAATAATGTAAAAGGCATGGAAACGGGTGAGACACATGGATAAATAAAGGAGGCTGAAAGGAAGTCACGTTGTAAAAGCCATTTGCATCTCAATTTCCTGCTGCCTACCTTGTTCTCTGAGAGAAAATACCTTCTCTTTGTATATCTCTGGCTGCCAAAACCAGTCCTTGAGAGAAGGCACTTGTGTTTCATTATGGCGCTGGGCCAAATTCTAACATCTCTGCTTATGTCATTTCATTTCTCTAGGAATTGATGCCTTTGCAAAAAGGAAAGAGCTAAAACAAATTGGGAATTTGAATTTGGAAAATATTATATATTGTGTGAGCTTAGGGTGTATAGCATGATGACTTGATCCATGTGTATATTGTGAAATGTTTACCACATAAGGTTAACACGTCCTTCACCTCATGTATACCACTTTATTGTTGCTATGGCGAGACCATTCAAGCTCTACTGTTACAGCAACTTTCAAGTAAATAATCCATTGTTACTGATTATGGTTACCATTCCATACATTAGATCTCTGGAACTTACTCATCTTTAACTGTAAGTTTGTACCTTTTGACCTATGTCTCCCATTTTCTCCACCCCTTAACCACCATTCTACTCTCTCTCAGGCTGATGTTTTTAAATTCCACATGTAGGTGGTGAGATCATACAATATTTGTGTTTTTCTGACTTATTTCACTGAACATAATGCTCTGAGGTTCCATTCATGTTAACCAAAATGGAAGGATTTCCTTCTTTTTTTTTAAATTACTGAATAATATTCCATTGTGTTTATGTAGACCTATATGACATTTTATGGACCCCAAGTTTGTTTCCATGTCTTGGCTATTGTGAATAATGCTGCAGTGAACATGAGAGTATAGAAATCTCTTCAAGATACTGGTTACATTTCCTTTGGATATAGACCCAGAAGTAGAATTGCTAAATCATATGTAGTTCTACTTTTAGTTTTTTTTGAGAAGCCTGTATATTGTTTTCCTTGGTGGCTGTATTTACATTCTCACCAACAGGGTATAGGAGTTATATTTTCTCCACATCTTAGCCAGCATTTGTTACCTCTTGTTTTGTTAATAGTGATATCTGATAAATGTGAGCTGGTATCTCATTGTTTTTGATTTGCATTTCCCTGATGGCTGGTGATGTTGAACAGCTTTCTATGTACTTGGCCAATTGTGTTTCTTTGGAGAAATGTCTATTTAGGTTCTCTGCCCATTTTTTAAATTGGATATTTAAAAATATATATTTTTAAAATTTTTAAATTTAAGTGATCTCCACATCCAACACGGGGCTCAAACTCAACAACTCTGAGATCAAGAGTCTCATGCTCCACTGACTGAGGCAGCCAGGTGCCCCTGGGGTTTTTTGCTGTAGAATTGTATGAATTCTTTATTTATTTTGGATATTAACTGCATATCAGATATATAACTTGCAGATATTTTCTCCCATTTCATAGACCACCATTTCGTTTTGTTGATTATTTCTCTTGCTGTACAGAAGCCTTTTAGGCTAATATAGCTTCATTTGTTGACTTTTGCTTTTGTTGCTTTTGTTGCTTTTGTGCTTTTGGTGTCATATTAAAAAAAAAAAATCATTGCCAACGCCAATGTTGAGGACCTTTTTTTCCTGTGTTTTCTTCTTGGAGTTTTATGATTTCATGTTTTAACATTTAAGTCTTTAATTCATTTTGAGTTAGTTTTTGTGAATAGTATAAGATAGAGGACCAGTTTCATTATTTTGAGAATATCCCATTTTCCCAGCACCTTTTATTAAAGAGACTTCTTTTCTCCCTTGAGTATTCTTGGCTTCCTTGTCAAATATTAGTCAACCATAGATGTGTGGTTTTATTTCTGGGCTTTTTATTTCAGGCTTTATTTGTTGGCCTGTGTGTCTGTTTTTATGTGAGCACCATACTGCTTTAATTACTATAGATTTATGATATAGTTTGAATCAGGAAGTGCAATGCCTCCAGCTTCCTCGTTCTTTCTCAGGATTGCTTTGGCTATTTGGGGTCTTTTGTGGTTCCATACACATTTTAGGGTCTTTTTTTCTACTTTTGTGAAAAATGCCACTGGACTTTTTTTTTTTTTTTAATTTTATTTATTTATGATAGGCACACAGTGAGAGAGAGAGAGAGAGAGGCAGAGACACAGGCAGAGGGAGAAGCAGGCTCCATGCACCGGGAGCCCGACGTGGGATTCGATCCCGGGTCTCCAGGATCGCGCCCTGGGCCAAAGGCAGGCGCTAAACCACTGCGCCACCCAGGGATCCCGCCACTGGACTTTTGACAGGATTATATTGACTTTATAGATGGCTTTGCATAGTTTGAATATTTTAGCAATATTAACTCTAATCCTTTCATAAAAATGTGTTAATATTCTAAGATGTAGGTGGAACTTCCTCTCCACATTTTTTTTTTTATTAGAGTTTCATCCAAAAGCATTGAGATGTTTCCACAGTGTTAGATATCTCCCTCTTTATGGTATATGTTTGACTAAAAAGAGCACTTTTTCAATAAGGTTTTAAATGCTTTACTTTTTTCCCCCCAATATCTCTACAATAAGTTATTGAAACATAGCCACACCCATTCATTTCATTGTCATAGCTGCTTATAGCATGACAGATGACAGAGTTGAGTAGTTGTGACAGAGGCCATATGGCCTGCAAAACCTAAATATTACTCAGTGGTTCTTTTTTTGTTTTGTTTTTGTTTTTCCTATTTTCCAATTTTTTTATTGCAGTGAAATATATATAACATAAAATACCTTTTTTTAACCAGTATAAGTGTACAACTCAGTGGCACTAATAACATCCACAGTGTCATGTGACCACCACCAGCATTTCCAAAACTTTTTCATCATCCAAATGTAAACTTTGTACCCATTAAGCAATTACTCCCTGTTTCTTCTTCCCAACCCCTGGTAACCTCTAATAATCTGTTCTCTGTTCTATGAATTTACCTATTCTCAGTATTTTATGTAAGTGGAATCACATAGTATTAGTTCTTTTGTGTTTAGCTTCTTTTGCTTAACATAGTATTTTCAAGATTTATTTATATTGTGTGTATAACAACTTTTTATGGCTTTTTTAGGACTCATTAGCCTTCTGTTGTCTGTACCTATCACATTTTGCTTATCCATCTGTGGTTGGGTTGTTTCAACCTTTTGGCTATTGTGAATAGTGCCAGAGTGAACATTGGTATACAAGTATCTGTTTGAGAGGGACGCTGGGTGACTCAGTGGTTGAGCACCTGCCTTCGGCCCAGGGCGTGATCCTGGAGTCCTGGGATCGAGTCCTGCATCAGGCTCTCTGCATGGAGCCTGCTTCTCCCTCTGCCTATGTCTCTGCCTCTCTTTCTCTGTGTCTCTCATAAATAAATAAATAAAATCTAAAACAAAACAATGCAAAAACAAAAGACAAGTATCTGTTTGAGTTCCTATTTTGAATTCCTTTAAGTATGTACATACCTAGGAGTCGAATTGCTGGGTCATGTTTTATACAAAAATGTATAGAAAGATGTATATAAGTAAATATAAAATATACAAAGATTAACTCTACGTTTAACCGTACGCCATCTTACATTCTCACTGCTTGCTTATTTTGAAGAAAGGTTTCCCCCAGATTAGGATTCTTATTAGAAAAAATTTTCCCAAATTTCCACTTATGTGTCCAATGCTCTCTTATGATCTTATTCTCTAGTAGCCCAGGTATACTATAAGTGGAATTTAAATGGAAGTGGCTTAAGGTTCTGCTTAAGGAAGAAATTTCCAACTGAGCAGTTGGAAAAAGGAATGGCCTGTCTTAATTGTATGGTCCCTTCTCTTCTTTCAAGAACAAACTGGGTAGCCATTTGGGGAGGGAGGGTCGAATATTAACTATATTATTGAATTCTTTGAAGCCCATGGAATCTATTCAATTGAAGTGAAGAAATCTGAAAGGAACCTTACTTCACACTTTAGGGTCTGAGGGTGATAATTAGGATAGGCAATGAAGCATTTCTTGTTAATAGTTTAAAAAAAACACTGCTATTTTCCAGACATATTCCAGACACATATACATATGCCGTAGAGGGAGACAGGCACGTACATGGGATAAATTGTGGGTACCAGAGTAGAAACGCCAGATGCAGTGAGAAGGCAAAAGGGGAATGGTCAGCTCTCTAGAATCGGGAGAGTGCTGTGAGCAAATGAGTGATGCTTCAGATGAGGCTGAAAAAGCAAGTGGATGTTACTTGGACCTATTAGGAAAGAGGGTGGGCAGACACGGCAGGCATTGATGAGTTTGATAGCCCTCTATCCAGTGCTTTTGTTACTTTAAAAGTCAATTGAGTAGAAGCCAGGAGAAGTCAGCTGGACCCTCTGTGCCATCCCTGTGGAACTTAAGATTTTATCCTGTAGGCAATGGGGGCCATTGAGGGGTTTTATATAAATGAGATTTCTTTGGCAACCACATGGAAGGTGGATTGTAGGGGGGACAGGGTTGAAGAAACCAGTTGAGAAATTGTTGGAATAGTTTGTGATGAAGGCCTTGAACTCTGGCTTTACTCACATGATTAGTTGTACTTCCATTATTCCCCTTCTAAGTGTCCTCCCGACCTTTGTGTATTTATTCTTACTGCTTTTGTATCAGGGATTTACTTTTCCATCTGAACCAATGCCATTCTTCAGTACTCCTTCTTAAGATGTTTTCTCCAAGCTTATGTGACATGTATAAAATAAGTCATTGATCACCTGCTATGGGTTAAAGTAGGTACTAGGTAGTGTGCAAATATTATCTCATTTAGTCCTCATAACAGCCTTCTGAAGGGTTAATAATTGTTCCCTATAACCCATAAGACAAAAGGCAAGTAACATACTCAGGTTTATTAACTTTAGGTAGTATCTGAGCCAGGATTGTCTGTCACCAGATCACACTGTCTTCTGTAAATTTATATAATTTAGCTTATTTACATAATGTTATTTCATGTATCTTTCCTCTTTGCTAAATTGACATTTTTGATGACAGTGTTGTTATATCATCTGTGCCTTACCAAGGTCTTAGCCTAGCATATATATTCATTGAGTTTTTGGGTAATGAATATCTAATGACCTATTTGGGCTTTTTCTTATTATTGTTTCAGATCTCCTTACAACATGCATTATACCTTCTGCATCATGGAATGTTTGAAGATGCAAATAGAAATCTCAGTCATGCGGAGACGTGGAGATATGGTGAAAAGTCAGCTTCCCAGGAAGTGTTAATCAATCTTATTCAGGCCTATAAAGGGCTTTTGCAGTATTATACTTGGTCTAAAAACAAGATGGAATTGTCTAGGCTTGGTGAGTGAAGAGGAATGTGCTTCTTGTGTTGATGAGACTGAATCACAGGGACAGTTAGGATTTTTTTTTTAATTAACATATAGTGTATCATCCAGTTACCCCATCCCTCCACCTCCCTCCCATAGCCCTCAGTTTGTTTTCTAGAGTTAAGAGTCTCTTATGGTTTGTCTCCTTCTCTGATTTCATATTGTTTTATTTTTCTCTCCCTTCCCCTATAATCTTCTGGTTTGTTTCTTAAATTCCACATATGAGTGAGATCATATAATTATCTTTCTCTGATTGATTTATTTCACTTAGCATAATTCTCTCTAGTTCCATCCATGGTGTTGCAAATGCAATATTTCTTTTTTTTTTTTTTTTATGGCTGAGTAGCATTCTATTGTGTATATATACCACATCTTCTTTATCCATTCATCTGTCAATGGATATTTGGGCTATTTCCATAGTTTGGCTTTTGTGGACATTACTGCTATAAACATTGGGGTGTAGGTGCCCCTTTGGATCACTACATTGGTATCTTTGGGATAAATACCTAGTAGTGCAATTGCTGGATCATAGAGTAGCTCTATTTTCAATTTTTTGAGGAATCTCCATACTGTTTTCCAGAGTGGCTGTACCAGTTACATTCCCACCAGCAGTGTTAAGAGGGTTCCCCTTTCTCCAAATCCTCACCAACATCTGTTGTTTTTCCTGACTTGTTAATTTTAGCCATTGTGTGGTAGTATCTCATTGTGATTTAGATTTGCATTTCCCTGATGCTGAGTGATGTTGAACATATTTTCATGTGTGTTGGCCATTTGTATGTCTTCTTTGTAGAAATGCCTGTTCATGTCTTCTGCTCATTTCTTGATTGGATTATTTATTCTTTGGATGTTGAGTTTGGTAAGTTCTTTATAGATTTTGGATACTAGCCCCCTTATCTGGTAAGACATTTGCAAATATCTTCTCCCATTCTGTCAGTTGTCTTTTGGTTTTGTTGACTGTTTCCTTTGCTGTGCCAAGAGCCTTTTATCTAGATGAAGTTCCAATAGTTCATTTTTGCCTTTGTTTCCCTTGCCTTTGGAGAGAGATACCTAGTAAGCAGTTGCTGTGGCTAAGGTCACAGAGGTTGCTGCCTGTGTTCTCCTTTAGGATTTTGATGGATTCCTGTCTCTACATTTAGCTAAGTCTTTCATCCATTTTGAGTCTATTTTTATGTATGGTGTAAGAAAATGGTCCAGTTTCATTCGTCTGCCTGTGGCTGTCCAATTTTCCCAATGCCATTTGTTGAAGAATATCTTTTTTCCATTGGATATTTTTTCCTGCTTCATTGAAGAATAGTTGACCATAGAGTGGAGGGTCCATTTATGGATTCTCTATTCTGTTCCATTGAGCTATATGTCTTTTTCTTGTGCCAGTACCATACTGTCTTGATGGTTACAACTTTATGATAAAGCTTGAAGTCTTGGAATTTTTTTTTTTTAAGTCTGGAATTTTGATGCCACCAGCTTTGGTTTTCCTTTTCAACACTCCTTTGGCTATTCGTGATGTTTTCTGGTTCCTTAGAAATTTTAGGATTATTTATTCCAGCTCTGAAAAAAGTTGATGATATTTTGATAGGGATTGCATTGAATGTATAGATTGCTCTAGGCAGCATTGGCATTTTAACAGTATTAGTTCTTAAAAAAGAAACAAACAGTATTAGTTCTTCCAATTTTTTAAAAGATTTTATTTATTTATTCATGAGAGAGAGAGAGAGAGAGGCAGAGACACAGGCAGAGGGAGAAGCAGGCTCTATGCAGGGAGCCCGACGTGGGACTTGATCCCAGGTCCCCAGGATCACGCCCTGGACTGAAGGTGGCAGTAAACCGCTGAGCCACCCAGGTTACCATGTTCTTCCAATCTATAAGCATGGGACATTTTTGCATTTCTTTGTATTTGCCTCAGTTTCTTTCATGAGTATTCTATATAGTTTTTGGAGTATAGATCCTTTGCCTTTTTGATTAGGTCTATTCCTAGATGTCTTATGGTTTTTGGTGCCATTGTAAATGGGATTGTCTCTTTAATTTCTCTTTCTTCTATCTCATTGTTAGTGTACAGAAATACAACTGATTTCCGTGCATTGATTTTATATTCTGACACTTTGCTGAATTCCTATATGGGTTCTAGCAATTTTGAGGTGGAGTCTTGTGGGTTTTCCACACTGAGATCATGTCATCTTCAGAGAGTGACGTGAGAGACATTAGAGTTTGACTTCTTCTTTGCCAGTTCAGATGCCTTTTATTTCCTTTTGTTGTCTGATTGCTAAAGCTAGGACTTCCAGTACTATGTTGAACAATTGTGGTGATAATGGACAAGGGACAGTCAGGATCTTAAGGAATAACCACACTCCCCCACTTTCAAGCCCAATTCTTTCCAGATACTGTAGAGAACAGACATTTCTATTGATGTAAATTTTTAAAAAATATTTATTCATTTATTTATGAGAGACAGAGAGAGAGGCAGAGACATAGGCAGAGGGAGAAGCAGGCTCCTCGCAGGGACCCCAGTGTGGGACTTGATCCAGATTCCGGGATCACGCCCTGAGCTGAAGGCAGATGCACAACCGCTGAGCCACCCAGGCGTCCCTGATGTAAAATTCTTGATCATCCTTTGTAGTATTTCTGTTTTTATCAAACTTTTCAGACATAAATTAGATAATTTATAAATTAAGTCCATCTTAGATTTATTGCTTTTTAAATTATTTCTAAGAAAGGTTGCAAATTTGTTTCATTAGATATTGCATATAAGAAATATTTCTTCCCATACTTTTAGAATGAAGTTTAGTTTATGTTTTTTTTTTATGATGTTTATTTATTTGCATGTCATCCTTGTACAGGGGCCATGCTAATCTCTGTATCATTCCAATTTTAGTACATGTGCTGCCGAAGTGAGCACAAGATGTTTATTTATTTATTTTTAAGTAATCTCTGCACTCACTGTGGTGCTCGAACCCATGACCCTGAGATCAAGAGTCTCATGCTCTTTTGACTGAGCCAGCCAGGTGCCCCTGCTTTATAATGTTATTCATCAGAATAACATGCTTAGAGAATAGGATAAGGTAAAATTATTTTATTTCTATACAAAGGTCATAACAGTTTTCTTGATTGACCACACCAAGATTGGCTGTGTGTCCTTATTTCTCAAACAGAGTTCCTTTTCTCTTACTTCCCATGGTGATGTTATCCTCTTCTATCCACAGATTTGTATTTGATAATCTGCATTTTCCTTGTTTTGTATAGTTTTTCTCCATTGCATCTCTAGAACTAACCCTTTTCATTTTCTCATCCTCCATCCAAACCTCAGTCCCTATATATATTGGGTCATAAGTATGAACAGTGATTCCATATTAACCTTATGTTTAATAAGTAGTATTTCCTCTGTCTCCTGGGCATGTAGCTTTACTAATCTTAAAATTCCTTTCCCTCTTTCTGAGTAGGATCTCTCCCAGGACACTTCTGATATGCTATCTTATGATAAGCTTGCCTCCTCGTCTAGAATGCCATCTGCCCTGCAGGACTCATTAGACCTGTGATTTCCATGCCACAAACCTCATATGTCAGCTGCATGTTCAACCCATATTGTTCAGCTCTTTCTCTCTTACTTTTTAATTGTCCAAGTTTTTTCATGTCTATTTTATGTTGTATTTCTTCTAGATTAATTGGTCTTCTGAGGTCACAGATCTCTCATGCCTTCTGTTAACATTCTGTTAGCCTTTCCATAATGCTTGGTGTAATATTTCTTTTAAAAAAGGCTTGTTGATATATATATTTTTTGGCTTGTTGATATTAATTGATTGGATGAGTTTTAAAATCAATATTTACCTTTTTCTTACACCTGGTTGGGTAGAACTCAAGCAAACATTGATGACTAAAGCAGTTGGAACATGGCATTTGTACTGTCTCTTCCATGGGCAGATGATTCAGTACCTTTCTGCAGCTGATACTTTGTTCTGTAACAAGAGATAAAGATGGAGTAATGTGTGGAGCCCTTTAGATGATCTTTAACCTTGAATGTCTGTTTAATAAGAGAAAAAGGTTAGGACTAGTTCTGTATAACCAGACTCATGAGAACATAACACATGAATGTATGCTCAGTGTTGGCTTGGGATTTTTCTCATGGCTATGGCCTGTCCTGCTTGGGTTTCATGCACTTGGTGACTGGAAATCCCCCTTCCATGGTAAATTCACACTCAACTTATTCTGACTCAGGGGTCTGCTTTTTTTTTTTTTTTTTTTTTTCTTTTTAAAGTTTCTTTATAGTTCCTTTCCTACTTTCCCTTTATGACTTCATTTCCAAATCCATATTTATATTTATTTAGTTGAGCCTCTGGGAAGAGAACACCAGCACCTTTCATGGGAGGGGAGAGCTGGGTTTTTTTTTGGCCAAAAAGTGGCCAAAAATAAAAAGATTTTGTTTCTATCAGCTGTCTCTCTCTTTTTTTTTTTTTTTAATTTATTTATTCATGAGAGACGCAGAGACAGAGAGAGAGGCAGAGACACAAGCAGAAGGAGAAGCAGGCTGCATGCAGGGAGCCCTACATGGGACTCGATCCTGGGTCTCCAGGATCACACCCTGGACTGAAGGCAGCGCTAAACTGCTGAGCCACCTGGGCTGCTCTATTAGCTGTCTCTTTTGAAGGACTAACTTTCCTTCTAAACCTTTAAGAGTGTGAAACATAACACGCAAAGAAGTATATAAAACAAATGCGTGATAAGATGAATAATTTAAAACAAATATCAGCGTAGCTACCAGCTAGATTCATCCTTGAAGTTCCCCATGTGTGCACTTCCTCCCATTCTGTCCTTTGGGGGGAGGGGAGCGGGGAAAGTTTGTGAAGAATTAGTTTTATTCTTTAAATATTTAATATTATATATTTTTTATTGTTTTAATATTTAATATTATAAATTATTCTTTAAAAGTCTCTGTTAGAATTTACTAGCAAAGCCATTAGAGCCTGAACTTTTCTTGTGGATAGTTTGTTGATTGCTTTTACTGTCAGCAAAGCCCTCAGTACTGAATAACTTTGAAAAATCTTTTATCTTTGGACAGATAAAGAGGATTATGCTTACAACACAGCATTCCAGAATATGCTCAGCCACAGCGGGAAGATGTCTGTAAACCTTTGTGCATTGATTCAAACTCCTGGAGTTTGGGACCCTTTTGTGAAGAGTTATGTAGAGGCAAGTAGGCTTCGTATAAAGTTTTCTTAGTTTCATTTTGTTGTAAACCTTATCTTTATTGATCAAAAGGCAACTAAACGGAGAAAATTGTTTTTTTTTTAATTTCTTATTTTTAAAAGATTTATTTATTTATTTGTGAGAGACTTACAGAGAGAGGCAGAGACACAGGCAGGATCCCCACAGGGAGCCCGATGTGGGACTCGAACCCGCGACCCTGGGATCGTGCCCTGGGCCAAAGGCGGACGTTCAGCTGCTGAACCACCCAGGCATCCCTAGAAAATTGTTTTTAAAAAAGAGAGAGGGGCACCTGGCTGGCTCAGTCAGTGGAGAATACAACTCTTAATCTCTGGGTTGTGAGTTTAAGCCCCGTGTTGGGTATAGAGATTGCCTAAATTAAAATCTTTAAATAAATAAATAAACAAAAATTTTTTAAAAATTAAAATAAGAAACTATATCTCTTTTTGGTCTGAATAATTTTTATTTTACTCTAATATACTATAAATGTTACTGTTTTTTTTTTTTTTCCTTCGCCACTGGGTAATGTGTCATGGTCAAATAGTTATAAATAGCAATATAGTTTATAAATATTCATCCTATATAATTCTTAATAAACTTAGAAGAAAAGCAGGGAGATATTTTATGATTTGGTGGAATAGAGAAGACCAGGGGCCAAAAATCTGAAAATAGGTCATAATTTGTGGGATGAAGACTAATGGCTTTTAAGAAGTTTAGAGTGCGCTGCCGTGTCATCCCCGAGTTCGTGTGAAAGGACAGGGAGCCTTGGCAGGGGCACTAGGCATAAACCTTCAAAATACTTGGCTTTCTTGAAGTTTAATGAATGCTACCATGATATTTATGTTGTCAAAAGATAATCTCTGAAACCACATGCCAGTGAATCGGAATTCCCACGTATGGATGGGAACGAAAGGAGAGGGGTTCTAGTTCCCATGCACTCCGTTTGTGGCTGCAGTTTTGTCGGGCCTGAGGTCAGTTGCTTCATGTGGTCTTTTTCAGTTGCCAGTGTGCCCTGCTTGGAGGACTTTATTTCTTATAGGAATAGTTCCTAGGTTGAAGTTGCTGCATTTTTCAGTAACAAAAATGTGGTAAGGAAGAAATGGAAACCCATGTAGGCCTTTGTTGTAAGTAATCTGTGTTCCACAGAAGTTGTAACATATTCTGGTGAAAGCAAAAACTGGCATGACTGTTGTTCCCTTTATAGTAAGTACTGTTTGTCATTTTAATGAATTTTTGTACCCCTCAAGAAAGTTGTGTTTTCTTTCATACAGTTGTTTTCAAGAATTTAGCCAAGACCTTATGACTTATTTTATATAGATGATGGAATTCTATGGAGATCGAGATGAAGCCCGAGAGGTACTCAACAATTATGCCTATGATGAAAAGTTCCCATCAAATCCAAATGCTCATATCTACTTATACAACTTTCTAAAGAGAGAGAAGGCACCGAGAGAGAAACTGATAAGTGTGCTTAAGGTATAAAACGTTTATTTCAAAGTTTGAACAAGGTTGGGGATCTACTTTAAAATATCCTTAGGGCTGCTTGGCTGGATCAGTTGGTGGAGCATGAAACACTTGATCTCAGGATCATGAATTTGAGCCCCGTGTTAGGTGTAGAGATTACTAAAGAAAAAAAAAAGTAAAATTTGAAACATCCTTAGGTCATGCTTTCCAACTTTCAAATTCTAGCATTCATAGAAAATGACTGTGTGTGTGCCCTGAGGTGGACAGAGCAGGCTGTGGGCTCTGGGTGGCCCTCCACTGTCATTCTCTACCACTCTGTCCAAGTGAGCCTGAGAGCAAAGGGTCAGAATTTTGGAAACCCTTTGCCACCCTTGTGGGAAAGTTCTGCTTTGATATTTTTTGAAAATCAGCTTTATTGAAATTTAATTTACATATAGTAAGACTTATTTTAAGTATACACTTGAATGCATTAAAATTTTTTTTATTTTTATTTATTTATTTAGAGAAGGAATGGGGGTAGGGAGAGAAAGAATCTTTCCCTGTGTGGAGCCTGATGTAGGGCTGAATCTCACGACTCTGAGACCACAACCTAGGCTGAAATCAGAAGTCAGATACCTAGGCGACTGTGCCACCCCTGGGGCCCCAGGAAAAAAAAATTTTTTTTTTTAAGACTTTATATATTTATTCATGAGAGACACAAGGAGACAGAAAGAGACTCAAGCAGAGGGAAAAGCAGGCTCCATGCAGGGAGCCCGATGTGGGTCTTGATCCTGGGTCTCCAGGATCACGCCCTGGGCTGAAGGCAGCACTAAACCGCTGAGCCACCTGGGCTACCCAAAAATTCTTATCTAACAGTCTTTTTTAAAAAGTCCATTAGCGGGATCCCTGGGTGGCGCAGCGGTTTAGTGCCTGCCTTTGGCCCAGGGCGCGATCCTGGAGACCCGGGATCGAGTCCCACGTCGGGCTCCCGGTGCATGGAGCCTGCTTCTCCCTCTGCCTATGTCTCTGCCTCTCTCTCTCTGTGTGTGTGACTATCATAAATAAATAAAAATTAAAAAAATAAAAAAATAAAAAAAAATAAAAAGTCCATTAGCTGGGGCACCTGGCTGGCTCAGTTGGTGGATTATGTGACTCTTGATCTTAGGGTTGTGAATTTGAGCCAGACACTGGGTATAGAGATTACTTAAAAATAAAGCCTTAAAAAAAGATTCCATTAGCTCTAACGTATACTTATATATTTATAAAGTTGATGTTATCAAAACTTCATATGTGGAAACTATACATTTTAAAGTTTTCAACAGGCTTTATTTCACTGCATAATATTTTTAAAGTTGGTATTTTAATGTCCAAGACTTCTTTTTACCCATTTTGCAACAAAATATTGAGTATAGTTATTAACAAAATAAAAAGCAAGTTGGTGACTTCCTAAATTTAGATTGTAAATCACTAATGGTATTTTTGAAAATATTTTAATAAAAAATGTAACAGGGGCCCTGGCTGGTTCAGTCAGTAGAGCCTGTGACTCTTGATTTCAGGGTCGTGGGTGTGAGCCGTACATTGGGTGTAGAGATTACGTAAAAATAATATCTTTAAAAAAATGTAACAGAAAATAACTATATTGAATACTTAATTAGGTTCACGATAAAATGGATTTAGGGAACTTCTGTTTTCTTTTTTTCTCTTTCTTTTGTATATTTTTTTATTGGAGTTCAATTTGCCAACATACAGTATAACACCCAGTGCTCATCTCTGTTTTCCTATTTTAAAATGCAGTGTTTGAAATTAAGAACTCAGTAGATGGGTTTGATAGCTGATTGAACATAGCAGAAGGGGGTAAATGAACTGTATAAAAAAATATCAGGCCAAAGCCCAGAAAGCAGAAAGGATAAAAGGGTGTACAGAGAACTCGGTTAAGGTTCCAGGGAGAGGAGAGAGAACAGGGCAAAAGCAGATACACAGAACCAATATTTGAAGAGCTAAAGGCTAAGAATTCTCCAAAACTAACTAAAGACTATTATGGTTCTGATAACGTTCTAGTTTTTGATCTGGGTGCTGATTATATGAGTGCGTATAACTTTGTAAGAGTGTATTGAATGGCATATGCAATTTACTGCAGAATTCTATAAATCATAAGACAAATGTGATTTCATAGGAACTGAGGTTTAAAAATACTCTTTGATATTGGTATATTGATTGTGATTGATCTTCACTTAAAAGAGTAATTAATAAAATTAATAAAATTTACCTTTCATTTTGTAGGAAATAATTTCACTCGAAGGTCAAAGGAGCCCAGCAAGCAGACAGAATAAATTGATTTCTAATGTGAAATATATTAAAATGAAAAATATGATTTTACTTTAAATCATGTTTTATGTATTCATAAAAATAGTCTTTCTTGGGTTGCCTGGGTGGCCCAGTTGGTTAAACATCTGCCTTCAGCTCAGGTCATGATCTCAGGGTTCTGGGAATCGTGCCCTGTATCGAGCTCTCTGTTTAGCATAGAGTCTGCTTCTCCCTTTCCACTGCTTCCTCCCCCTGCTCATGCTCTGTCTCTGTCTCTCTCTCTCAAATAAATAAGTAAATAAAGAAAAATGAAATATATGTGTGTATGTGTATAGTATTTCTTATTCTTAGAAGAGTAAGGTTTTTTTTTTTTTTTAAAGATTTTATTTATTAATGAGAGACAGAGAGAGAAAGAGAAGCAGAGACATAGGCAGAGGGTGAAGCAGGTTCCATGCAGGGAGCCTGATGTGGGACTTGATCCCGGGACCCCAGGTCACGCCCTGGGCCAAAGGCAGGTGCTAAACTGCTGAGCCACCCAAGGATCCCCCATAAGAAGGTTTTAAAAACCTTTAATTTCTCCCTATTGTGTAAAATGATAAATGGTAGAATGGTAAAAATATTTTCTTGAACACTCTTACTGTGCTGTGTTCCTGAACACAGTCTTCCAAAGTAGCCACCCCTGCTTTTTTGGCCTTTTTTTTTTTTTTTTAAGATTTTATTTATTTATTCATGAGAGACACACAGAGAGGCAGAGACACAGGCAGGGGGAGAAACAGGCTCCATGCAGGGAGCCCAACGTGGGACTTGATCCCGGGACTCCAGGATCATGCCCTGGGCCGAGGGCAGGTGCCAAACTGCTGAGCTACCGAGGGATCCCTTTTTTGGGCTTTTTAATTTATATAAATAATCTGTGACATTTTGTGATCAATAAATATTTACTGTCTTTTCCCTGTGATTTTGCTTCTTCCTTTCCTTTTTTTTACCCTCTATCTAGGCTTCTTCAAATAAATTAAGTTTTTAATGTGGTAGACAATATAAAAATGTATAAGGAATAAATAAAAAGTTCCTGTCTACTTCTCCTACCCTCCCCCTGACTATCTTGTTATTAACAGGGATTTTCTTCTTTTAAAGATTTTACTTATTTATTTGAGAGCGAAAGTGAGAGATCACAGAGGGAGAGGTAAACTCCTCAATGAACAGGGAGCCCAACATGGGGCTCGATACCACTACACTGGGATCATGACCTGAGCCCAAGGTAGATGCTTAACTGACTTAAGCCACCCAGGCACCCCTAGAACACCTTTCTGTACCCAAGTTAAAGGTGGACAAAAGCAAGATATCTTTTTAAATCCTTGATTGATTTACTGAGGGTTTATTAGATAGTAAGAACTATATTTGAAAGTAAAATGAAATTTGAGAAATGCTTTTATAACGTATCAAAATTATGATTATTTTTTCTTTTAGATTTTGTATCAGATTGTACCATCTCATAAACTGATGTTAGAATTTCATAGGTTACTGAGAAAATCAGGTAAATAGTTTTTGTTTTATATCTCTTTGTGTAGACAAGCTATAGACTAGCAGACTGTGTCCAGTGGGGCAAATCCACCCATCACGTGTTTTATAAATCAAGTTCTGTTGAAGCATTTTTGTGTTGTCTATGGCTGCTTTTGCACGACAACAGCAGAGTTGTGTAGTTGTGACAAAGACCATATGGGTCACAGAGCTGAAATATTTACTGTCTGTCCCTTTATAGGAAGAGTTGGCTAACACATGCTATAGAAATTAGGCAATAGTTCGCACAAGATAAATGGCTTCAATTTATATAATTCACCTTGTTTGAATCTCTGTTGCATTCAATATAAAAAAAGAACATACTTGTTCATAGAAGGAAGTCAGCTTAAGTCCAGTGGTACTCGGGCTACGTCAGTCCGTCTCCTGTTAGAAGAGAACATATATGAAATACCCAAACAGGACCGGTTCCTTAAATAATGTCCTCCCTCAGTAGAATATAGTAAAATGATTTAGAAATCAGACCCACCACTCTAACTTTCATTAGCAGGGACTAAATTACTGAATTTTCAGATTTATCACAGCAAAATATGAGCATAATGAATTATTTTAAACTGTTAACCAAACTAGAAGGCTTACAACTCAGTAATATTTTATCAACTGAATATGTATTTTTAGCCTTGTGCACTTCAATACCTCGTGTAAACTCTTTAATTGTTCTGCCCATTGCAGAAAAAGAAGACCACCATAAACTGGCATTGGAGGTATTATTTGGAGTCTTAGATTTTGCTGGATGCACGAAAAATATAACTGCTTGGAAATATTTGGCAAAATATCTGAGACAGACTTTAATGAAGTAAGTAAAAGACACAGTATTTTTTCCTGGATCAGTGTCAATAAAATTTCCCAGTATTTTAGCTAATATTTCTCAGTGTTTAAGTTCTTTCCTTATGGTTTTTGAGTTCTTGAACTGTGTCTTCAGCTGTTCTGAGTATATCAGAAGCAAGAAAATACAGTCCCAAGTAAAACATGCAAAAATTCTATTAAGATATTTTATGCTGTCAAAATAAGTACTGTACCTTACCGCTGAAGTACTAGGGAATATATATGTTTTCAAGTTGAAAATAGTGGCAAAAACCGGTCATTCCCAGTCTTCGCTAGACTCTGTAAAGTTCAAGTCCATTGTGAGCTAGATACCTAAAACTATAGCTGTGATCATATTATTATTAGTGTCAGATTGCAAGTGAAAGCAGGAGTGGTCCTTGACATTTTTACTTTGAGGGAAGAGAGATCACAAAATTAAGTTTCATTTATCATATCCATCTTAGTTGGTTAGAAGCTTCCTCGTCAGTGGGAACTTGGGTCAGGCTTCAGATCTGACTTGATCTTGGAGACGGAAGAATGCTGCTGATAAAATGTTTTTTGGTGTGGTAACTGTAAACCGCCTTCCACATCTACAGCAGCGTATAAGCCCCAGCTAGCTGCAAGATTCGTGAAGGCAGAGAAATGTACTATTCAGTTTTTTAACCTCTGGAAGTTCTGCCACAGGGTCAACATGAGTGTTAATAAATATTTGCTCAATTAAATTATTGACGAACACATAGTGTTGTCTGGGTTCAACTGTCAAACCTGTGTGTTAACAATTTGTCTAATAATGGCATCTTAATTTGAGTGGTAGAATTCTTTGTAGCATATAAAGTAAGGTTTTAAAGTAACTTTTAAGTTACTTAATAATCATAATAGCTAATATTTATTGAACAGTTACTATGTACAGACAACATGCAAAGAGCTTTACATGAGACCCCTATACTCTTGGACCAGTTTTTTTTTTTTTAAGATTTTATTTATTTATTCATGATAGACAAAGAGAGAGGCAGAGACACAAGCAGATAGAGAAGCAGGCTCCATGCAGGGAGCCCAGTGCGGGACTCGATCCCGGGACTCGATCCCAGGACTCCAGGATCACGCCCTGGGCCAAAGGCAGGTGCTAAACTGCTGAGCCACCCAGGGATCCCCTCTTGGGCCAGTTTAGTAACAATGCTGTGAGATGGGTACTGTTAATAGCTCTATGGAAATTGAGGCTCAGAGACGTTAAGCAGCTTGCTCAGGAGCACATAGGTAGTAAATGGAAGATCTGAGATTTGAATCCAGGATCTTGAGTTCAGACTGTGTGCTGTTAACCACTATGTGTATCCAACTGGCTATTTAATTAAATGGATAGCAGAAATCAAAGAGAACTAAAAGAATTTGCTTTCATGCATGTGCCATACCATGGATAGCGGCACTCAGAAATTACTTTGAGAACATCTGTCATCTTTCCACAAACTCTTTTTTTTTTTTTTTTTTTTGACTGGGGAAAATAAACTGTTTTCTTTTGTGGGTGTGGACAAATGTCTAGTCTCAGAATTTCTGAACTGCTTCCTGGTGCCGGTGGCCTTGGTGACTTTGAGCACATTGAAGCACACAGTCTTGCTCAAGGGTCGGCACTCCCCCACTGTGACCATGTCACCGATCTGGACGTCCCTAAAGCAGGGGGACAAGTACACGGACTTGTTCTTGTGGTGTTTCTCTAAGTGGTGGTACTTTTGGATGTAGTGGACATAGTCTCAGCAGATGATACTGGCCCTCTGCATCTTCATCTTGGTCACCCACCACCCCAGACAGAATCTGTGCTCGGACAGAGATATTACCAGGAAAGGGGCATTTCTTGTAAGTATAGGTGCCCTCTGTGGCCTCCTTCAGCATCTTGAAGCCCAGACTGATGTTTTGTAATATTGTAGGAGCTTCTCCTTGCCAGTTTCTCCAAGCAGGACTCTTCTCATTTTGAAAAATGGTTGACTGCTTTTGGTAGGCCCGCTCAGTCTGTCCGCCATCTTCTCAGCTGCCTGAATAAAGGACTCCACAGACTCTTAGGTTCGGATTCTGGCAGTATAGGTCCCCCTCCATCATTGACCTTCCCTTTTGATATTTTTCTTTTCTAGGAATCACCTTGCTTGGGTTCAAGAAGAATGGAACTCCAGGAAAAACTGGTGGCCAGGCTTTCACTTCAGCTTCTTTTGGGCAAAAACCAATTGGAAAGAGGATAAAGCTTTGGCTTGCGAGAAAGCTTTGGTAGCTGGACTATTGTTAGGAAAAGGTACCAAGTTTTGTTTTCTTCTTATCTAGACACAGCTTTTGGATGATTTTGAAATTACAAATCGTGACCATTCATTCATGCCACAGCCCAAGGACATCAGAGGCTGGAGACATAACTGGCAAATGGGAAAATGAATCTTGAGTTTGGCCAGGTGATCTGCTTGTCAGGACTGTCCGTAGGCTAGAAACAGTGATTTTGTCTTGTTGATTGTGGTGGTTGGTTTGTATGCTGTAACTTGAGTATCCTCAGCAGCCAATCAAGGTGGAGGATGCAGACTGTTTTCCCAACGATATAGAAAGTTTCCTGACATTGTCTACCTTATAGTATTAGAAATAGAAAAATACCCTTTACTGGACTTCATTGTTTTATAATCACTCTCTATAATATATACTTATCTGTTCCTATTGGATGAAACACATCTTCCTGTAAAAAAAGTATACTTCCTATTAATTTATTTAAAAATCCTCTTTTTTTAAAAAAAAAGATTTTATTTATTTATGAGAGACACAGAGAGAGGCAGAGACACAGGCAGAGGGAGAAGCAGGTTCCCTGTAGGGAGCCTGACACAAGAGTCGATCCCAGGACCCCAGGATCACGACCTGAGCTGAAGGCAGACGCTCAACCACTGAGCCACCCACATGCCCCTTAAAAATCCTCTTAAAACAAAGGGAAATTGATCTTTTCTTTGTGGATTATTTTGGCTGTTAAGACTCTGATTGTGCCACTGCTATACGAGGACAAAGATGGGACCACTGCTGGGTCTGCTCAGAGATGAACAGAACGTCTCTGTGTCCATGAGTAAGGAGTCTGTTGCTAGTGAATTCAGAGTATCCTAAACAGATTCTTCAGTGTGGTTTTAAATATGGGTGCTATTTTTGTGGAATTAGTATTCTCAAGTGAGTGTTTCAGGTGGTTAGTAGGTTAATAAAATGCTAGCCTCTAAGAGGGACGATTAAATATGAAAGCACTTGTAACATTTCTCAACCCACACCAAGGAATAGAAATAGGATTCAGATGGTGATTTCTCACTTAGGAGTAGGATAGAGGCATCTAACAGATATCTAAAGGTGTTTGTATTTGAGCAGAGTCTGAAGACCTGGGCTGATCTTCTGGTTCTGTCACCTTTCCCTGTCACTTAGGTCAAACAGTTAACCTTTGGGAGCCTTCTCTGGGAGTGGGGTTTGTTAACACCTGTCCATGTTGCTTACAGGATTCTTGTAAGCGTCAAGTGAGCATCACATCAAAGTGCTTTATAGATTCAAAACTGCTCTATGAATATCAGGCATAATCATGCCTGAAAGTGGGTACATCTCTTCTTTGGGGCCGTAGTGTTGGTTGAATCAGTCCGTTCAGGAGTTGAGCTGGGTTTTGTCTGGGCTCTGGTTACCCTCTTTAAATCACAGGATTCAAATTCTGGTCATGGCCTGCCTTTGCTTCATGCTAACAGTAGGGCATGGTACCTGCCTTTCTTCCCATGCTCTTCTAAGGCAAGCCAATCCCTCCCCTCGTGACTTCATGAGGTCTGGTGGCTCATGATGAGGTAGGAGTTCGTAGTTACTTGGCTTTTTCTCTATGTTAGGTGGGAGCGAAGTTCTTTCCATCTTTCTGTATTCTAGATAGAAGCAGAGGTCTGGGTACAAAGCATTTTATTTATGCTAAAGTAGTAGAGATGTGTTTAGAAATACAGGTTATAATATTAACACCACAGACACCACTGCTTCCTAGCTAATGAAATTTTAATGACTCTGGCACACTGTTTTCGGGGCTAATAAAAATGGTTAGTAGGTACAGTATATGTCCTAGCAATTTCCCAGAGAAGATGGATTTATACATGCTGAGATTATGATGAAATTAGTTTTTCTTATGTGATTTATGGTCTCGCTCATTTATCAAATATAAAAAAAAATCTCTTGTTTACATTTTTTTTAACAGAAATTTGATTCATGTCTGAAATATTTAACCAGTGATCCACTTAGCGTTGTAAGATTATGAAAAGCAGGTAGAACTTCTGATGAGCACTAGGCGCCCTGGTCAGAGCTGCATGCTCACCACCCAGCTGCTCTGCTAGGTGCTAGAATGACTTAATAGGTTCTGCTCTCTTCTGACCTGTGAGTTGTTTATTCTGATCCTTCACATCGAGGTTTCCTTATGGAGAACTTTCTTATTGTTACAGATGCCTCTTTGGCTGTGTGACGAGCTAACATTGAAAGAGAAGCTGCAGTTGTTTGCTTTTGGGGGAGGGCTCATATAATATATGAATGTGTGTATAATACTCATATCACCAGGGCTTGGGAGGCAGGTGGAAAACCAGCAGAGGTATATGCTCTAATCATGACGGATCAGAAACATTTTCATATATAGGAAGCGTACATTTCACTGGAACAGCTCTTAGAGTGTGTTTAGGACATGTTGGTATACATAATACAGATCCCCCCATTTTCATGATCATTGGTATGCCAGAGTTGAAGCAAAATTTTTAAAGTGTAGAAATATACTTGAAGAATTGAAAAGTAGTAAAACTTACCATTTATTTTGCTTTGTTTTGTTTTTTAGGTTGCAGGTATTTTCGATATATTTCCAAGCAAGATGATCAAGTCATAAAGAAAAAAATTAAGCAGATAAAGAAATCAGTGAAAAAATACAGTATTGCAAATCCCGGACTGTGATCTTGAATATTAGTTATCTCAGAAGATAGCCACAGAATAGTAGCTCTGCGGGTAATTATTGAATGCATTTATTTACTTTATGTTTCTAGGAGGTCATTTATATGGCTACAAAAAAGTTATTTTTATATTTTTCTATATTTTATTATAATTGTAGCTAAAGAAACAGTCTCACCGCCTTTGTCCTTTGTAAATACATTTTTCTTTTTTTTGTACTGTGAAATATATTTATTAAAGAATAACTCCCACGTAAGAAATATATTTGTTTAATCAGAGAATACAGTTACAGAGCAGTTATTGCCATTTCCAGATAATTTGCTTCTCTTATGTAATAAAACATAACTTGTAGTATTAAGTGAATCTGTATTCTTTTTTGAGATTCTGAATGATCCGTGTTAGGCTTACCTTCATAAAGAATACATTGAGGGGTGTCTGGGCGGCTCCGTTGGTTGAGTGCCCAGCTTTTGATTTTGGTTCCGCCCAGGTCATGATCTCAGGGTCGTGACATGGAGCCCCTCAGCAGGCTCAGTGCTCAGCAGGGGAGTCTGCTTCTCTCCCTCTCCCTCTCCCTCTGCCCCCTCCCCCGTTTGCAGGTGCATGCAAGTGCGCACGCTCTTTCTCCAATAGATAAATCTTTAAAAATATATATGTATTGGTCATGAGTCCTGTCAAGGAATTTTGGGAACAGAGCAGGAATTAAAGGACTCCTCTTTCTTATTTGATATTAAGACATGGCAGTTTGGGGCCAAGTGACCTTCTGCCAGAGAGCTACCTTTGACTCTAGAAGACTCATTTGGGTCAGAGACAGTAGAGGGGTGGCCTAACTTCAAAGGGCTCTAGTTTGTTGTTGTTTTGCTGGGCACAGCAATAATCTAAGACATGCCTTGAATCCTGTGTCCCTCACCTTTCTTTTGGAACCTGGGATGTGGCGGTAGGCAGCTGGGCAGTGGAGGAGATTGTGCTAGTGAAATAGTGTCCCCAGGTCTCCCAGTCAGCCCAGTGGGAAAGCATGCTGCAAAAGCCAGGAACGGCCTTCCTGGAATAGAAGCCGGAGCTTTATAGTACGTTGTGGTAACTAGTAGAGCAAGTGCTTCTTCCAGACTGTCTCAGCTCTTACACCTTTATGGTGCAGATAACTTGTATATGAGTTCCAGGAAGGCCCACTAAGCCTTAGAGCAACTCCTGTATGTAGATGACAAACCACCCATTTTCCCTGTTGCTTATGTTCTCTCTAATTAGAAACCATCTGCAAGAAAATTGAGGGACAAGTGATGCTTTGTCAATAATTTGATTTAGTATTTTGTACTTAGTGAGATGACTATCGCCAAATAACCACTCATCCTTATACATATGAAACCGGTAGGTGCCCTGCAGACTAACGTAAGCCAGGTTCAGCTACCACATGAGTAGGGCCAGCTTTACTGCTGGGAGTTGGTGAGTGGATTATGTAAGTTCTGTAGAAGACCAGCACTGGGAATGAAATCCCCAGACAACGTGGACAAAATCTCAAACCACACGCTGAGTTTGTCAGGGCATCTGCTCCCTGAAACCTTTAGTCAAAAGCTATTAAATAGGATTTATGAGTTCTCATGATCTCTGGCAAATGGAGGTGGGAATGAAAGAGAAATGAGTAGATACGATTCTTGGTGTCTACGGGAAGCTTAGTTTCCTAGAATTTTTATATCAAATGGTCATATTGCATTAGGCAGTAAGAGCAGTGTAAATCGGCTGTGAAATTTGTTTGAGGTCCACTAAAGTCAGTTTCATGAATAATAATGGCTGAAGCTGATCAAGTACCTTGGGCTTTACATTTCTTCTTAGTATCACCACAATCCTATGAATTAGCCCTATTTTATCTAGAAAGAAAGTGGGGGTCTCACAGATTAAGTGACTTGACCCCAGTCACAGCTGGTAGGTGTTCGCACCAGGACCTCAGCCTGATGTGGGTTCGAAAGATCACACTGTCTCCATCCTATCTGTACTTTCTCCTCACTTCATGTTTATAGCCTGCAGAGCACTGAGCTAGGGAGCAAGGAAAACAGTAGGGGGGCAGTTCATAACCCAGAGCCGGTCAGCTCAAGCAAAACCTGTCCTCCCTGCCAGGGTTGGTAGGTTCCCTCTCTGTATCCTCACTGGTCCCTCCCTGTACAGCCTCTTATTAAATTACTACATTGTTACCTTGACTTTGTACATTTGTCTTTTTTAATAGTATATTATCTGGGCTTGATAATCTCTTGTCAGCCCCTACCTATTTACCAATTTCTAGCTCATTAAATAATGAGTAGAACTAAATGAAAATTCATGAAACATACTGACCTAGTCTGCCGGTGTCATAGGGAGTAGTATCTTGGGGTGCTTGTGCCAAGAGGGAGGCCTCGGGAGACTGTTAGGCTTGGATTCTGGGTTTATCATTAGGTAGTTCTGTGACTTCTTGGGCAGGTTACTGAGCTTTCATAGTTCGTTTACTTGCAGGTGTGAGAGAGTAGGATTTATCTCATTGGATTGCTTTGAATAATGAAAGATATAATGAATGCCTAGGAGTAATTCATACTTAACAAATCTTAAGTGACCATCCATCATGATTGGTCTTTAAACACTAAATAACAGGAACTAAATAAAGATAATTGAAAATCTTGTTTTTTCCTAGAAACCTCTGAAATATAGAAATTGTGTAATAGTTGAGTTAATACTTCCCATGAAAACATACCCATCTTTCAGTCTGTGTACCATCTAGCCATTAACCATGGACTGGAGGGCTTCACACATATTTGAGATTACTCAGTCTGCATAGTTCTCTCCTCGCTCAGCTGCCCCAAACTCTGATCTTGGGCTCACCAGCTTCATGGGATTGCCATGCTTTGCTTGGACTCCGCCTCCCTGCACTGCTCATGAGAAGTTGTCCTGAGATAGGGAAGTTAGGCTATTGTAGAATTTATTTTAAGAGATTCACTTCAGGGACGCCTGGGTGACTCAGCGGTTTGGTCCCTGCCTTCAGCCCAGGATGTGATCCTGGAGTCCTGGGATGGGGATCGAGTCCCACATCGGACTCCCCACAGGGAGCTTGCTTCTCCCTCTGCCTATGTCTGCTTCTCTGTGTGTCTCATGATAAATAAATAAAACCTTAAAAAAAAAAAAAAAAGATTCACTTCAGTAATCCCTGTCTTGTGTTGTCTGTCCACTACCTTAAAAAACAGTTGTCCCATATATTCTATCTAGATTAAATGATATGTAAACTAACTAAATTAAAATTAGGACGTTTTGCCTGTCAAATGTTACCTTTAAGAAAATTAAATACAGTCTATTAAAAGAAGTATCTGTGGGGCACCTGGCTGGCTCAGTCAGTAGAGCATGTGATTCTTTATTTCCGGGTTGTAAGTTTGAGCTCCACTTTGGGTATAGAGATTGGTTTAAATAAAAAAAAAAAAAAAAAAGTATTTGCAACATGTAAACTGACAAAAGAATAAGATAAATTCAAAATAGAAAGAAATGGGCAAAGCCCATGAACAAGTATTTCACAGAAGAGGGCAAACGTGGACCATAAGCACTTAATTCAGGGAAATGCAAATCAAGAGTATAGTGGACTGCCAGTTCAGACCCATTCAACTAGCAAAAAGTAAGATACTAAGGTTCAGGAGGATGTGGGTCCACAGGGTCTCTTGTACATGGTTGGTGAGATATAAAATATTGTAGTCACTAACCTATCTCTAGTTCTCTTAAGATGTTTGAAAATACAGATCTCAATTTTCTTTATCTGAGGAATGATTTGCTGCTGCAGTATTGAAACTGAAGAATCGATGCTAGAAGAAAAATAAAGTGCTGTTGGAGGACTGGAATCGGCAAGCATGTTGTGAGCCAGTGCTTACTTGTTTCTAGAACGCTGTTGTCCTCTGAAGTAGACTGTACTTACCCACGTTTAGTTTTTTTTTTTTTTTTAACATTTTATTTATTCATGAGAGACACAGAGAGTCAGAGACACAGGCAGAGGGAGAGGCAGGGTCCCCATGCATAGCCTGATGCGGGACTTGATCCCGGGGCTCCAGGATCACACCCTGGGTCTAAGGCAGACACTCAACCGCTGAGCCACCCACGCGTCCCCTTACCCATGTTTAGTACGTTTAGTGTGTTGATGTCAGAAATCAATAAAAAGGGGAAATTGTGGGGGAAAAATTGTTTTAGGGAACACTTTCTTTACCATTTGCTAATACTCTCCCTGAGTATTCACTTGAGAAATGCTTGTACATGTATGCCAAGGGACAGTCGCACTGTTCATAATAGAAAAACTAGAAAAAAACCCACAACTCTCCATTGGTGTGTGACTGGATAAATTGTGGTAGAATCATGTAAAGAAAAATGAATAAACCATAGATTTATACACCAACATAGGTGGGTCTCAGTAACATACCAAGTGAAAGAAGTGAGTCCCAACCTACTACTTTGTGACTACGTAGAGATCAGACTTCATAAAGTTCAAACTAATGACTAAAATGTTTGTAAATGCATACAGATTGTGATGAAACTGCATATAAAAAACAAGAGAGGGGATCCCTGGGTGGCGCAGCGGTTTAGCGCCTGCCTTTGGCCCAGGGCGCGATCCTGGAGACCCGGGATCGAATCCCACGTCAGGCTCCCGGTGCATGGAGCCTGCTTCTCCCTCTGCCTGTGTCTCTGCCTCTCTCTCTCTCACTGTGTGCCTATCATAAATAAATAAAAATTAAAAGAAATTAAAAAAATAAAATCATAAAATAAAAAACAAGAGAAGAGTGAACACAAGTAGTTACCTCTGAATGAGAGAAGCAGAGCCATAGGATGGCAGAGAAACACAGTAGGGACGTGAATTACTGTTAGTGGTCTAGTTTCTTAATTAAGCAGCAAGCTCTTCATGGACTAATGTTGACAGTGAATTATGAGCCAGGGATTGTGATTTATCCCATCCTGTGCACTTCAGGTCACTTTATTTTATTTATTATTATTATTTTTTAAGATTTTCTTTATTCATGAGAGAGACACAGAGAGGCAGAGACACAGCAGAAGCAGAGGGAGAAGCAGGCTCCATGCAGGTAGCCCAATGCGGGCTCGATCCTGGGTCTCCAGGATCATGCCCTGGGCTGAAGGCAGACGCTTAACACTGAGCCACCTGGGCGTCCCTACTTCAGGTCACTTTAAGCAATAAAAAGGACTATACAATATATGATTCCATTTATAGGAAATGTCCGGAATAAGCAAGTCTACAGAGATGAAGAAAGTAAATTAGTGGTTGCCTAGGATGGAGCGAGGGGGGTAGGCGGGAAGAAGAGGTGGGAGTGATACCAAAGGATACAGGGCTTCTTTTGGGGTGATGAAAAATATCCCCAATTTGGGTGATGGTTGCACAATTCACTCTTGAATATACTAAAAAGCATACACGAAACGAGTCAGTTGTATGTTGTCTGAATTTTATCAATGACGCTTAGCAAAAAGAACCAAAAAAAATAATCAGCAAGCTTTATGGAGTCAGAAAGGTCTGGATTCAAACAAAGCACCTCAGCTAATTTAGCCTCAGGTTTATGCTGTAATGAGGTGATCTGAGGAAAGGCAAAGAATATTTAGCATGAGTCTTGGTGTATTGTTTTTCTCTCAGTAAGTGGTAATATTTATTATGAACCAAAAAAAGGTAAAGAAACTAAGAAATGAATACAAAACCAGATCATTCTTTAATGAAGGGGTAAGTGTGGCCTCTCTGGATTGAGTTATGTATCCATGGATGCATCCATGCCTTGTGCATCCAAAAAAGCACAAGGGCTTTTCTGCTGGATTTAATTAGAATATATTTTAAATATTTCAAAAATAAGCAGACCATTGATGGATGTGACCTACAAATCCTAGAGCTAGCATCTAATAAATTCATTTTTAAAAATTCATCTATTTGGGGTGCCTGGCTGGCTCAGTTGGTAGAGCACGTGACTCTGTATCTCAGGGTTGTGAGTTTGAGTTCCATGTTGGGCTCCAAGGAGCTCAAATGATTTCAAATATCAGTCTAGTCCTAGCTTGTAGCCCCAGACTTCTAAGTTCATCTAATAGCCAAAACTTGTTTCCTGTTCTCCACCTGTACCTCATCTGAACACCCCAGTCAACCCTTATTAGGATTTTCTTAGCCACTCCAGCCTGATGCCATCTTTCCCTTCGAGGGATTTCTAGTGGCAAGTTTGTTCCTTATTGTTGTCCTAAAAGCATCTGCCTCGTATTATTTGGATTCTTATTTTTAACCTTTCTTCTCAGAGCACGAACTCCTTGAAAAAGTGTATTTTGTGCATCTGTTTTCTGTTAAACATTCCTCTTTCAGCATAACGCTTTGGGCATGATAATAACATATCCATGGTAAAATTAGTAACTGCATAATTATTATATAATCACATGTATTGGGGATCCCTGGGTGGCTCAGCGGTTTGGTGCCTGCCTTTGGCCCAGGGCATGATCCTAGAGTCCCGGGATCAAGTCCTGAGTCGGGCTCCCTGCATGGAGCCTGCTTCTCCCTCTGCCCGTGTCTCTGTCTCTCTCTCTCTCCCTCTCCATCTCTCCTGAATTAAAAAAAAAAAAAAAATCTTTAAAAAAAATCACATGTATTATGTAATTATATCTAAAATATTATGTAGTCCCACCTGAAATGTTGCATCTCTTAATAGTCAGAAATTTGTGCCATCATTGTGTCTGATGGGACCTGCTTGCTGATGTTTTCCTGCTAATTTTGAAATCTTTAGGCAAATCTTTTTGCCTAAAACAATAAGATCTGATTTGAATTTACATGTCTTGGGTGGATAGAAATTATTATGTCTAATATTTTGTTTTGTTTTGTTTTTTTAGTGCTATGCTGTAATTTTTTTTTTTTTTTTAGGATCGGTTTTTTTTTTTTTTTTTTTTTTTTTATTTTAGAGAGAGAGTGCTTGTTCGAGCATGAGTTGAGAGAGGGGCAGCGGAGAGAGGAAGACAACCAGATTCCCTGGGTAGCCGGGAGCCTGAGCCCCTTCGCCAGAGACAAGAGCCAGACAAGGGGCTCAATCCCACAACCCGTGAGATCATGACCTGAACTGAAACCAAGAGTTGGGCGCTCAACCGACTGAGGCAACCTGGCGCCCCTGTGCTGTATAATTCTTTTTTTTTTTTTTAAGATTTTATTTATTCATGAGAAACCCAAAGAGAGAGAGAGAAAGAAAGAGAGAGAGAGGCAGAGACATAGGCAGAGGGAGAAGCAGGCTCCATGCAGGGAGCTACTCGATCCCAGGTCCCCAGGATCACACCCTGGGCTGAAGGCAGATGCTCACCCTCTGAGCCCACCCCTCCACCCCCGCATCCCTAATTCTTTAAACACAATCATTAAGAATTATTTTCCAAGAAGGAAGCATTCCTTTTGAACCTATTTTTTGTGGCAAAGGGAAAACAGACATAAATGTCAATAAAAGATCTAAAAGAGGGGCGCCTGAGTGGCTCAGTCAGTCGGTGAAGCATCTGCCTTCAGCTCAGGTCATGATCTTGGGGTCCTGGGATCCAGGCCTGCATCTGGCTCCCCGCTCAGTGGGGAGTCTGCTCCTCCCACTGCTCCTTCCCTGGCTCATGTTTTCCCTCTCTCAAATAAAATCTTAAAAAAAAAAAGATCTAAGAATATTTTCAGGTCCCACATGGAAGGAGAGAATGCCGGCATTCCTATGCCTCACAGGACCTTTCTGAGAAGGCCTTGGAACGTCAATCTGCAGGCTGTTTGTGACTCCTCCCGCCCAAGGCTTCTAGAGTGATGACATTATCTAACCTTTCAGCAAACAATCCCATGGAAACAGGAGAGTCACCAGTGACTCATGGGTGCTGTATTACATTTAAAAAGCAATATTCAAGTAGGGATGTTATTGAGCAGTACAAATAGGAGAGCAGGGATGTGTTGTTGATTATTCTTAACAACTAAATCCTCCAGACTTTTCCCTTAGTTAAAAAAATGTTGTTTGTTTGTATTTTAAGAGCCATTTGGGGCCTTTGTAATTCACAGCATTGTGAGGACCCACTTGACTAGATTGAGGCTGTTGTGCTCTCTCAGTCTGTAAAGGCTATTTGGGATGGTGAGCAGGAGCCCACCTAGGCCAAGAAGAATCTTTGATTTCATCTGCATTTCAAAGGGCAACTCCCCCTCCCCACTCCAGGAGATCTCAGGGTGGAATAGAACCATGGAAAATACCAGAACTGAACTCAGGTAACTGATGCTTCTGCAGGCTTATGCCCAGCTTCATGCCTCCGTCTGGGTTTGGGGTTGTGTGAGTTTGGAACTCCATGTCCTTCCTCCACTCATTAAAGAAATTATATATATATATATATATATATATATATATATATATATATATATATATATCTTTTTATTTTTTGAAACAGCATGAGCAAGGGAAGGGGCAGAAGGAGAGGGAGAGACTCTCAAGCAGATTCCACACCCAGCATGAGGGGTTATGACCCTGAGATCATGACCTGAGCCGAAATCAAGAGTTGGACACAAGTGACTGAGTCACCCAGGCACCCCTCATTTAAGAAATATTTATCAAAGGACCATGTGTAAAGTGAAACACATTCTTAAATGCTAATGTTGAGACATCTATTAAGTGAGGAGGTGCGGGGTGGGGGGGGGCAAGTATAGATTTGGCAAAAAGAAAGAGCCCAGAGGTTCTGTGCTTTCTGATGGCACTGTCCCCAGTGGCCCGCGCTGTCTCCTTGCGTGTCCACCAGGCCAGGCTCCCTCCTTTCTTCTTGCTCCTGGTGTAGATGCCGGATTCACAGGATGTCCTCTCTTCCCACCACTGCAAGGATGGAACTTTCTGGATCACAGAGACCAGACAGTCCCCCTGCCTCCCCCTGCCTCCCCCTGCCTCCCCAGGCATCTTTCCAGGTCCACACCTTTCATCACTCCAGGAGCCCGGGGATCCTTGCCCTTTCACACTGGGATTGGGCGGCTCAGGCCTGCGAAGAAAGTGTAAACAAAGTGTGAATTTCCTCCCCCCTCCCCCCCAGCACGGCAGGAATTCTTTGCAGTTTTAATGAATCACAGCACGTCTGCCAGGGGACTCCATCCACTGTACCTTTTCCTAAGCAGCCAGGCACCCCGAAAACTCGGCAGTGGGGGGTCAGGACTTGCACCAGCTTCCTGTTCAGACGGGATTAGCCGGGATGGTTACCTTCCCCAGTTATCAAGCCGCTCAGCTACCCAGACCGCAGAAGGGACACAGCTCAGAAACCACTTCAGGGAACTCGGTGGGGGTGGGGGCAGAGGGAAGGAAGAAAACACCCTGGGGCTGGGGCTGGGGCTGGGCCTGGGGCTGGGGCGGGTGGGGAGTGGGGAAGGGAGCTAGAGCACCGCCGGGAGCCAACCTGAGCACACGGCCACCTGCGGCTTCCCAGCCCCAAGACCCAGATGCGGAGGAGGTGCGTTCCTGGGGGAGCCCTGAGTGGCTGGGCCCCCAGGCTCCTTGCCTCTAAAGCCGTCTCCCACCTCTGCCTCACATTCTTCCTGGGCCAGCTGGGCTTGCTGCTGGGACACCCCCAGTGCCTGGATTACGGGCCCCCCTTCCAGCCCGCGCTGCACCTCGAGTTTTGCTCCGACTACGAGTCCTTCGGCTGCTGTGACCAGCGCAAGGACCGCCGCCTCGCCGCCCGCTACAAGGACATCATGGATTACTTAGACCTCAAGGGCCACGAGCTGTGCGGCGGCTACGTTAAGGACATCCTGTGCCAGGTGGGCCTGGGCGTAGCCCTGCAGCAGCGAGGGAGCCCGCCTAGCAAAGTGCGGGTGCCTGGCTGGGTGGCGTGGGTTCCTTCAGAAGCTCACCTGGCAGCTGCCTCCCCTGGAGCTCTGGACGGACACACGGAGGCGGGGGGTGGGGGTGCTGGGTTTGCTTTCTGCTGGGAGACCCAAAGGTGGCCCCCATCCCTGGGCTCTGCTGGCCCTTGTGCTTTCCCCGGCAGAAGGCGGAGATGGGTGTCCATGGAGCTCCCAGAACGCGTTGGCCGGGTCCCCCTGGGGCACCGGGCGCACCTGTGGTGGCTTACGGAGAGCTTGGGGGCAGAGGTGGCACCTGCTGGGGCCCGGTCCTCGTCTGGCTCCTCTGTGCCGGGGGCTCCGCAGGGGGAGGATGGTGGTGGTGGGGTCGGGGCCCCCCCAGCATCTGGAGCTGGGGCTTTGGAGCTTCAGGCCGCCAGTGGCAATGACTCACAGGGGTTGTGCTTCTCTTGGCTCTCCAAGGGCCCAAATCCATCTCCCTGGCAGGTGTCACCCCTCCCCCCATTACCGACTCTGGGACAGCGGCCCAGGGCCCAGGGGAGAGATTCGCATTGGGGAGCCGATCAAAGAGGCTGTCACGGGTGGGGGTGCTCGAATGAGGTGTTGGGGGCGAGGAGGCGGGAAGTCCAGGCCGACCTGTGACCCGAGACACCGCCCCCCCCCCCAACCACCACCACAACTGCTCATGACCCAGAGCGCAGCGGCCCTTCGCAGGGAACATCGCAGATCCTGACCCGGTCGCCGGCCACCTGGGTGGCATCATCGGGCTGTACTCCCCCCACCGCCGGCGCCACCCTCCGCTGTCATCTGGAGAATTAACTCTGGGATGACAGGGCAGACGCTGGGCTCTCAGGAACAACACCAGGACTGTGAATTTTCCCCTGGTAAAAGTGTCTCCACCCCCCCCCCCCCACTTTGCCTACTGGATGAAGGTTCCAAAAGCCGAATTCAGCAGCTCTCCTGTTTTAGGGATTTGAGGAATCAGAATAACCTAGACGAGTCTGTTTATTAGAAGCCCCTTCCCTTTCTTTCCACATGCACCCCTCTTTCCAAGAGCAGGAGTTTGCTCTGCAAGCTGCTGAGGCCAAGGTTGGCGTAAGAGTGAGCAGGGTCCTGCACATCTGAGAAATGCTGCTGCCCCTTTGTGGTGGGGAGAACTGGGGGGGTGGGGGGTGTCAGGGATGGTCCTGCCCCTTCGGCCCCTGGGAGGGGTGTCAGTGATGAGAAGGGGCTTCGCGGGCCCTGGGCTCCATGCGAGGCCCACAAGCGTGCCCCTTAAACTGGCCTTTCTTACTTAGTCCCGGTTGCTTGTCTTTCTTGACTATTGGGAGTTGGTTGTCTGCCCACAATATTCTATTCTCCTCCTAAAAAACGCTGTAGTTCAGGGAGCCCCGAGCCGCAGGTCTTGTGTGTTTGTGTCAAGAGCAGTGGTGTGACCCCATAGCCACAGCTGAGATTTGTCTAACTCCCAGCGTGGTGCTTTGTGTAGATGAAGCACTTATTTTATTTTATTTTATTTTATTTTATTTTATTTTATTTTATTTTATTTTATTTTATTTTATTTTATTTTATTATTTTATTATTTTATTATTTTATTATTTTATTTTATTGTATTTTATTTTTTTAGCACTTACATATTTTTAATAAGTGAAGAAATGACTAGATGCCTAATCTCTGGAAGTGATAGATCACATGTCCAGTTGGTAATTTTACTACTACCGGTAAACTATTTCAAACATATGGAAAAGCACAGAAAATTAACTAATTAAATGCACCATGTATCCAACACCCAGATTCAGCAAATGTGGAACTTTTGCCACGTGGCTTCAGATTTGGATAAAGACATAAAATCTTACGGATGCAGCATTTATCGGTGGGGTAATCAGTATTCTTTTAAAAAAGTCATGGCTTACTAAAATTTTAAGTGTTGCGCAGCCTGGTTGGCTTAGTGGTTTAGTGCCGCCTTCAGGCCAGGATGTGATCCTGGAGACCTGGGATCGAGTCCCGCGTGGGCTCCCTGCATGGAGCTTGCTTCTCCCTCTGCCTGTGTCTCTGCTTCCCTGTGTGTGTGTCTCGTGAATAAGTAAATAAAATCTTTTTTTTTTTTTTTTTTAGTAAATAAAATCTTAAAAAAAATTTTAAGTATCAAGAACTAAGTTAAAATGCTAGAGAAGGTATTGTGAACATGAAAGATTTCTCAACCCTTTTTGCCTTCCAGGAGCACTAACTGGCTAGAAAATTTGGGGCGTTGAGATGCCTGGGTTTTGGCCCAGGGCGTGATCCTGGAGTCCTGGGATCGAGTCCCACATTGGGCTCCCTGCAGGGAGCCTGCTTTTCCCTCTGCCTGTGTCTCTGCCTCTCTCTCTGTCTCTCATGAATAAATAAAATATTAAAAAAAAAAGAAAAGAAAATTTGGGGCGTTGGTCATAGTCACTCCAGAATTCTGATTCTTTCCTTTAATTATCTTTTTTAAAGATTTTATTAGAAATCTTTAAAAAATCTAAATCTACATCTAAAGAAGCAGGCTCCATGCAGGGAGCCTGATGCGGGACTTGATCCCAGGACCCTATGATCACACCCTGAGCAGAAGGCAGACGCCCAACCGCTGAGCCACCCAGGGGTCCCTCTGACTCTTTCCTAGACCACTTTTCCTTCCCCTTGCTCAAAGCTTGGGCCCAGCCCCCCTGCGGCCGGTCTGACCACCCAGCAAGCCTCCTTTCCTTTCCCAGGAGTGCTCGCCCTATGCAGCTCATCTCTACGACGCCGAGAACCCTCAGACGCCCCTCCGGAACCTTCCTGGCCTCTGCTCTGACTACTGCTCTGCCTTCCATTCTAACTGCCGCTCTGCCATTTCCCTACTGACCAATGACCATCGCCCCCGGGGGCCACAGGAAGTGGACGGCGCCCATTTCTGCCACCTCCTGAACCTTCCTGACGAGGACTACTGCTTCCCCAACGTCCTGAGGAATGACCATCTCAACCGCAACCTGGGTGTGGTGGCCCAGGACCAGCAGGGCTGCCTGCAGCTCTGCTTGGCCGAGGTGGCCAATGGGCTGAAGAACCCGGTCTCCATGGTCCACGCAGGGGACGGCACCCATCGCTTCTTCGTGGCCGAGCAGCTGGGGGTGGTGTGGGTCTATCTGCCTGACGGGAGTCGCCTGAAACAACCCTTCTTGGACCTCAAGAGTATCGTGTTGACTACCCCCTGGGTAGGGGACGAGAGAGGCTTCTTGGGGTTGGCTTTTCATCCCAAATTCCACCGCAACCGCAAGTTCTATATTTATTACTCGTGTCTGGGCAAGAATAAGGAAGAAAAGATCCGGATTAGTGAGATGAAGGTTTCTCGGGCTGATCCCAACAGAGCTGACCCCAAATCAGAAAGGTAAGACATGCCTGTAAGAACAGGCACCTCTGTACCCTGCTCCAAGACAATGCCAGCCTGTCCTCCAAGATGATAAAGGGAAACGTTTCTGGTTTTAGAGCCACTGGCTTATAAGATTGACCAAGGAGTCTTTGTTGATTAATAAGGACAGACAAATTAGATTTTTGAGTGGGGGGTCTTCATGGGGTATAGCCATCATCACCTTACAGTTACCTAATCAGAGCCATGCTTACTTGTTTTTATAGAATGTAAGCAATGGCCAGCAGCCATAAGGGTTTGAGAAATGATTATAGATAATATCAATATATTAAACATAATAGCGGCCTCTGCTTATTGTGTGGCCATTGGATTCCAGGCCCTTTGCCTTGAACATGGGTATTATCCTCACAGGAGCCTGTGGCACAAGGCCATAGAGCTATGGATGCTCAGTCCGATAAGGACTTAATTCTATCAAATCCGAGCTCATGGTCTTTCTACTCCACCATTCTGCCCTTTTTCCTTCTTGTCCTTTCTGCCGTGTCTCTATTTTCCCAAATAGCCAAGTTGGGGGATTGAAAAGAACATGGAGAACTGATACATTAACCCCTGCTGGGTTGCTCAAAAGAAGGGATTAAGAATTCTGGTAGAGCCAGGAGTAAGGCCCAGCCCCAGAAAAGGGTGATTGTTAGTCTGGCTGTGTCTACAGCTCATGGAATCATGATATGAAAGAAAAATGAAGGCGACGTCCTGGGAAACAAGGAGTGTCATAGAGCCCCAACCTTTGTGACCTTGGAAACTCCGAAGCAGGACTGGCTTGGACCAGTCCTTTCTGGGTGTCTCAAGAGGATGCAGTTTTAGCTTGTATCAAAGCCCAATGCATGGTTTCTTTTCCTTCCAGAGTCATCCTAGAGATAGAAGAACCAGACTCAAATCATAATGGTGGACAACTTCTTTTTGGTGTGGATGGCTACCTGTACATCTTCACTGGGGATGGAGAACGGGCTGGGAATCCCTTTGGCAAGTTTGGAAATGCTCAGAACAAGTAAGCTGGATGGATTTAGGTCCCTGTCCCTTTAGGGGTGAGCCCTGGTACATTTTTGCTGAGATGAAGTCTTCAGAAGGTCAAACCCAAATCACTTGCTGCAAGATGTAACCCCCTTTGTTGAAGCAAGTGGGAGGAACATTTTGGTTTTTGGTCCTATACATTTCAGGCACAGTGTATTTGGTAAGTAATACTTTGGATGCTCAGTATAACCCTCAGAACACTATGTAGAGATGAATTTAGAGTTGGATATATATTAGCAGAATATTATTAACCACACCAAGGTCTTACCCATTTAATTTTTTTTTAATTTTTTTTTAAATTTTTATTTATTTATGATAGTCACAGAGAGAGAAAGAGAGAGAGGCAGAGACACAGGCAGAGGGAGAAGAGGGCTCCATGCAGGGAGCCCGAAGTGGGAATCGATCCCAAGTCTCCAGGATCACGCCCTGGGCTGAAGGCGGCGCCAAACCGCTGAGCCACCCTGGCTGCCCTATTACCCATTTCAATACAGCTCAGCAGTGTTATTGAGCACTGTGCTCCTGGCACTGTGCTGGGTCCTGGAGATGTGAGAAGGTATTTTAATAAGCAATATGTACTGAATGCTCACTGTGTGTCAGTTCTGAATACCTTGTGTGTATTTAAGAATGTGATTGTATTTATTTGGGAGGGAGAGAGAGAGAGAGAGAGAGAACGAGTGGCAGGGGCAGAGGGAGAGAGAAACTCCAGCACAACTCCATGCTGAGTGTAGAGCTTGGTGTGGGGCTCAATATCAACCAGAGCTGAAACCAAGGCTCAGATGCTTAACTGAGAGCCACCCAGGTGCCCCAAGAATGTAATTCTAACATCTCACAAGGGCATCATTTGTTCATTGATGTATCCCCAACACCTGGAATAGCCTGGCCTGGGAGTCCCTTCAGAAATACTTATGGAAGGGACAACTCCTATGAAGTGTAGGTATTATGATAGTCATTTTGCTGACAAAAGAATAGAGGCCCAGAGGAGTAAAGTAGCTTGTCCAAGGCCACACAGCAAACAAATGGCAGAACCAAAATTCAAACTCAAGCTGGTGTGGGAGGGAGCCCAGTGAAGGCCGTGCCAACCTTGATAAAGGTCATGTGATCCTTCTGCCCTTTGCACCAGCAAGCACTTGAATCCCATTATCCCTGGTAATAAAATATTGAAGTTCTAATAATCAAGAGCTAATGGGTGTCCAGGCGGCTCAGTGGATTAAGTGGGCGACTCTTGATTTTGGCTCAGATGGGGAGTCTGCTTGTCTCTCTCCCTCTGCCCTTCCTCCCATTCTCTCAAATAAATCTTTTTTTTTTTAATTTTTTTTTTATTTATGATAGTCACACAGAGAGAGAGAGAGAGAGAGAGAGGCAGAGACACAGGCAGAGGGAGAAGCAGGCTCCATGCACCGGGAGCCCGACGTGGGATTCGATCCCGGGTCTCCAGGATCGCGCCCTGGGCCAAAGGCAGGCGCCAAACCGCTGCGCCACCCAGGGATCCCTCAAATAAATCTTTATATTTATTTATTTATTTATTTTAAAGACTTTATTTATTCATGAGAGACACACACAGAGGCAGAGACACAGGCAGAGGGAGAAGCAGGCTCCCTGTGGGGAGCCCGATGTGGGACTCGATCCTGGGACTCTAGGATCATGCCCTGAGCCAAAGGTAGACGCTCAACCACTGAGCCACCCAGATGCCCCAATAAATGAATCTTAAAAAAAAATGACCAAGAGCTAACATTTGTCAAATGCCTACCGTCGGGAATTGCCTCTCCTGCTGTGCGCAGAGTAACTCATTTACCCCTCACACCACAACCACACTTCGAGGTAGTGTTTCTCTCCTCTGTTTTACAAATGAGGAAACTGAGGCCCAGAGATCACAGTTACTGGCAGAGCCTCGCCAAAAGCCCTGTTCTTTCTGTTTTTGTGACCACAGTGCTGTAAGAGGAAGAATCAACCTTTTAAAAATTCATAGTATTCGTGCCCACTTTAGCAGCACATATACTACAGAGAAGATGAGCATGGCCTCTGCAAAGATGATGTGCAAATTCATGAAGTGTTCCAAATTTCCCCCCCAAAAAATTCTCAGTATTAAACCAAATCTGAGAGAAACCATCCCATCGAAAACATTTTAAAAATTGAAGCTGCATCTTGCTTGCTCAGGGTCACATGGGCCAGGATCACATCAAACTTTTGCCTACCAGTTTTCTTTGAGCCCAAACTGGGTGAGCCTTAACATTTTGCCTAAATCTATACACTTATCCATCTATCTATCTATCTATCTATCTATCTATCTATCTATCTATCTATTTAGTATAGACATGACTTCATGTATATATCTTGTGTACATATGTGTGTGTGTGTATATATATATACACACACATATATATATACACATAAATATCGTATGTGTATAAAATCATGTCTCCCCATGTGATTCCTGGAGGTTGTTTGGCATTAACTATCAGTAGGCCCTCCTGGGTGGTCTCTGGTCTGGTGCCATTTTATTTTCTTTTTTTAAAGATTTTATTTATTTATTCATGAGAGACACAGAGAAGCAGAGTATCATCTAACAGATTGGAACTGATTGAGAATCAATATCAATATTGAGATCAATATCTCAATCATATGAGAACAATATGCCTCACTTTGTATACAGTGAGGCACGCCACCCCTCTGCTCACATTCTATACTCAACAGTTTTTACTAAGACAAATGATAAACTAAAAGGAAAGGTAAAACGTATGGGGTCCACTTCCACTGAGAAGCAGGCTCCCTACTGGGCCTGAGGTGGGACTCGATCCCAGGACCCAGGGATCACAACCTGAGGGGAAGGCTGACGCTCAACCACTGAGCCATCCAGACCCCCCTATCTTATATTTTATTATTTTAATTAGTTTTAAATTTTGAATACTTAACACAAAATCTACCCTCTTAAAAAAGACTTAAGTATTAAAAAAAAAATCGTAAGTACAATATTGTCAATTATAGGGACAAGGTACCCCAGATCTCTAGAACTTACTCCTCTTGTAAACAAATGTGCAACAGGCATATGAAAAGATACTCAGTGTCACTAATCATCAGGGAAGTGCAGATCAAAACCACGATGGGATAGACAGCAGGTGTTGCTGAAGATGGGTAGAGCTTTGTGTGCTGTGGGTGGGAATGCAAAATAGTGCAGCGGCTATGGGAAACAGTGGAGGTGCTTCAAAAACATGACAAATAAAACTAGCCGATGATGCAGCAATCCCATTTTGGAGTATTCATCCTGCACCTGTTGCCCGGGCTCCTTTCTTTCAGAAGTTCCCTGCTGGGGAAAGTGTTGAGGATCGATGTGAACGGCGCCGGCTCAGAGGGCAAGAGGTACCGAGTACCCCCCGACAATCCATTCGTGGCTGAGCCGGGGGCCCACCCTGCCGTCTATGCCTACGGGGTCAGAAACATGTGGCGCTGCTCCATGGACCGAGGGGACCCCGTCACACGCCTGGGCCGTGGCCGCCTGTTCTGTGGGGACGTGGGACAAAATAGGTTCGAAGAAGTTGACATCATTGTGAAAGGTGGGAACTATGGTTGGAGGGCAAAGGAAGGATTTGAATGTTACGACCGAAAGCTTTGTCACAATGCCTCTCTGGGTAAGTAAGACGGTCTCTGGGTGATTTCTTGAAGGAGTCGTGGGGGTTGGAGGTGGAGGTGGGGGATACAACCTGAGATTGTTGTGCCCTGCAGGTGGTCCAGGTGTCCTGGATCATGGCCTGTGGGATCGGACTTCTCAGCTTGGCCCTCCAGCCACTGGCACCAGAAATGCTTGAGTGATGCGTGTTGACCTGATGCATTTGAATATTGGGTGTATTCAGGGACTGGGATTGACCTAGGGATCTATAGTTCAAATAAATTACCCACATGATCTTTAGGCATGCTATTTTGCGAACCACTAGCAGAGGAAGATTGGTGGTTGTGTGTTTTAAATTATTCCCAGTTGGAACAGCCCACTGAAATGACATTCCCATGTAGAGTCAGGTGGTATAGTCCATGTACAACCCCTCAACGTCAGTAATCAAGGTGTACTTTTCAGTTGTGCTTTATCACCAGTGTGTTTCGGTCCTCTAAGTTACAAAGGCATCCTCGAGATCCTCAAAAGGTTTTCAGATCCTTGAACCTGAGTATCTGCTGTGTCAGCCTAGGGGATAAACATAGGTGTGTGGATTCTGAGGTCACTGCCTCACAGGTGGGGGAATTTTTGGCTTCTTCTCTGCTTGCAGAGACCAGTCAAATGGGAAGCTCACGAATACTGTGGTTGGTCTGTTGGGAAAAATAAATGTGATTCTCTTGGTTGCTTGCCCTACTGAAGACAAAGAGATAAAACATTCTCCACTCAATCAGGCAAACTACATTTGAAAGTCCCCATCTTCCTCCCTGAAGCTCTCACTTTTTTTTTTTTTTTTTTAATGAGACAGAGAAAGTGCACGTGCCTGCATGAGCAGGATGGGGGAGTGGGGCAGCGGGAGAGGGACAGAGACAATCCCAAGTAGGCTTCATGCTCAGCATGGAGTGTGACAGGGGGCTCGAGCTCACAACCCGGAGATCATGACCTGAGCTGAAATCAAGAGTTGGACGCTTAACCAACTGAACCACCCAGACACCTGCAGGCCTCAGTTTTTAGCTGTGACCCTCTCTTTGTTCCTGGACAGATGACATTCTCCCAATCTATGCTTATGGCCATACAGTGGGGAAGTCAGTCACTGGAGGATATGTCTACCGTGGGTGTGAATCCCCAAATCTCAATGGCCTCTACATCTTTGGGGACTTCGTGAGTGGGTAAGAGATTGATGTCTCCTTTCATTTTTCTTCTATTTTAACCTTTTTATTGAGATATAGATTACATGTGGTGAGATGGAATCTCTAAGAGCACAGTTGGATAAAGTTTTACAATATGTACTTGTAACAATGTCAAGATGCGGAACATTGCCATCACTCTAGAATACCATCCTGTCCTTTCTCACACTCACACACACAAGCCAGAGACAACCACTCCCATCACACATTAATTCTGCTTCTAGAACTTAATGTAAATGGAATCATGTATATGTATTCTTTTCTTGTACATGTATGGCTTCTTTCATTCAATAATGTCTGAAACTCATCACTGTTGTCACATGTGTCAGTAGTTTTTCTCTTTTATTGCTTTGTAATATTCAATTGCATGGATATACCACAAATTACTCATGTGGTAATTACTCCTGGTTTGACTGTTTCAGTTTTACTATATATTTATATTTATTATATGTTTGTTATACATATTTAAGTGTCTGTGTGTGTGTATTGAGCTTGTAACCAGCTACTTCCCAACTCTTATTAGCTTGTGTGTGTGTGTAAATTCTATTGGATTTTCTATGCACAAGATCATTTTACCTGTGAATATAGATACTTTCATTTTTTTCTTTTCCTGAATTGCAATGTCTTTATTGTTATCCTCTTGACTTATTACTTCATCTTAAACTTCAGTACAATGTCGGATAGAAGCCTTTCATTTTCACCAGTTAGTATGATGTCAGTTGTGGGTGTTTGTACATGCCCTCTATCAGGTGAGGAAATTTTCCTTCCATTCCTAGTTTACTGAGAGTTTATATTAAGTAAGGATGTCAAGTTTAGTCAAATGCATCTTTGCATCTAGTGAGAGAATCCTGTAGTTTTCTCATTTTTCTTTTTTAAGAAATTTTTTCTTCATTTTTTAAAAAGATTTTTTATTTATTTACTCATGAGAGACACACAGAGAGAGGCAGAGACATAGGCAGAGGGAGAAGCAGTCTCTTTGTGAGGAGCCCGATGTGGGACTTGATCCTAAGACCCTGGGATTATTCCCTGAGCCAAAGGCAGGTGCTGAACCACTGAGCCACCCAGGCAGTTTGCCAATTTATAGTATAACACTCAGTGCTCAACTTCATTTTTAGTTTTTAATATAGTGAATTACATTGATTTTTTAAAAAATCACTGATGTGGTCTTGCATTTCTGGAATAAATACCACTTGGTCATGATGTATTCTCCTTCTAATATATTGTTGGATTTGATTTACTAACATGTCGTTTGAAAATTTTGCATTTGTGTTCATAAAGGGATTTCTTTCTTGGAATAACTTTGCAAGATTTTGGCATCAGGGTAAGGCAGGCTTTAATAGACTGAGTTGGGGAAGGTGTTCTCCTCTTGACTTGTCTGGAAGAGTTTGTGTAAAATAGTTATTATTTCTTCCTCATATGTTTCTTCCAAGTGAAGTCATTCAGGCCTAAGTTTTCTTGTAGACAACATATATATAGTTGGGTCTTGTTTTTTGATCCACGCTGGTGATTTTTGTTATTTGTTTGTTTATTATTTCTTCTTAAAAAGATTTTATTTATTCATTTATTTGAGAGAGAGAGAGCAAGGGAAGGAGCAGAGCGAGAAGGAGAAGCAGACTCCACACTGAGCGTGGGCCGACGTGGGCCTCAATCTCAGACCTTGAGATCACAACCTGAGACAAAATCAAGAGTCAGAAGAGAGGCTTAACCAACTGAGCCACCCAAGTTCCCCTTTTATTTCTTATGTCTTATTTTTTTTTAAAATATTTTATTTATTTATTTATGAGAGACACGCAGCGAGAGAGGCAGAGACACAGGCAGAGGGAGAAGCAGGCTCCATGCGGGGAGCCCAATGTGGGACTCGATCCTGGAACTCCAGGATCATGCCCTGAGCCAAAGGCAGATACTCAACTGCTGAGCCACCCAGGCGTCCCTTCTTCTGTCTTCTAATTGGTGCATTTAGACCATTAACATTCAAAGTGTTATGGACATAGTGGGATTAATATCTACTGTATTTATTACTGCTGCTTATTTGTTGCCCTTGTTCTTTATTCTGTTTTTGACTTCCACTCTTTTTCTGTCTCTTGTGGATTTAACTGAGCATTCTATAGAATTCCATTTTCTCCCCTGTCTTAACACCTCAGTTATACATTTTTTCCCTTTTCAGTGGTTGCCTAGAGTTTTCAATATACATTTACAACTAATCCACATCCACATTCAAATAACATACTACTTCAGGATGGAAACTGAGGTCACTGAGTTGAGACTGTCATTTTCTTTACCTTTGTTTTTCTTTAAAGATTTATTTATTTATTTGAGAGAGAGAACACAAGCAGGAGGAGAGGGGCAGAGAGAGAGGGAGAGGGAGAAGCAGGCTCCCTACTGAGCAGTGAGCCTGATGTGGGTCTCAATCCCAGGACCATGGGATCATGAACTGAGCCCAAGGCAGACACTTAATCAACTGAGCCACCCAGATGTGCCAGGAAGATAATATTTTAAGCAGACTCCGTGTTGAACACGAAGCCGGACACAGAGCTTGATCCCATGACCCACAAGACCATGACCTGAGCTGAAAGCAACAGAGACCCAACCAAGCCACCCAGGTCCCTGGAGACTGTCATCTTTTCTAATACATGTGTCTAGTGCTATAAATTTCCCCTCAAATCCTGCTTTAACAGTATCCCATAAATTTTGATACATCATGTTTTCGTTTTCATTCAGTTAAAAATATTTTCTAATTTCCCTTTGACTTATCTTCTCCCAAGTTATTTTGAAGTGGGTTATGTAGTTTCCAAATATCTGAAGTTTTCCTGGATCTTTGTGCTATTGATTTGTGATTAAGGTTTTTTTTTTGTGTGTGTGATTTAGTTTGATTGTGGTCACAAACAGACTGTATTTGATTTGGGAGATTACCCTGGATTATCTAGGTGGGTCCTAAATGTATTCACAAATATCACTGGAAGAAGGAGGTAGAGGGAAACTTGCAGAAAAGATGGAAGTCAGTGCAACAACAGAAGCAGTGTGATGAGCCCGTGAGTCAAGACATGAGGACAGACAGCCTTTGGAAGCTGGAAAAGGCAAGGAAATTGATTCTTGTCCAGAGACTCTGAAGGGGGCACAGCCCTGCCAACATCTTGATTTTGACCCAGTGGAACCAATTTCAGGATTTTGGCCTCCAAAACTGTAAGAGAGTAAGTGTGAGTGTTTTCAGCCACCAAGCTGTGGTGATGTATTACAGTGGTGGTAAGAAACAGAGTTACCCTTCTCAATACTCCTCATTGCCTTGTGCACATTTCCTTCCCGGGATGTCCTTTTTTTTTAATACTTGAAGAACTTCCTTCAACATTGTTTGCAGAATGGATTCATTGGTGATCAATTCTGCTTTTGCTGTCTTTTTTGATCCCTTCCTTTATGAAAATATTTCTGCAAACTATAGAAGTCTGTGTTGATTTATTCTTTCTTTAATTCTTTAAAAATGTTGTCCATGGGCACCTGGATGTCTCAGTTGGTTAAGTGTCTGCCTTCAGCTCAGGTCATGATCTTGGGGTCTTGGGATGAGTCCCGCATTGAGCTCCCTGCTCAGCGGGGAGTCTGCTCCTCCCTCTCCCTCTGCCCTTCCTCTGCTCTTGTTCTCACATGGTCTTTCAAGTAAGTAAGTAAGTAAGTAAGTAAATAAATAAATAAATAAATAAATAAATAAATAAATAAAATCTTAAAAAAAAATCTCCATTATCTTCTTCTTTGCCTTAATTCCAGTGAGAGATCTACTGTCATCCTTATATTTTTCCTCCATGTTTAACATGTCTTGTTTTCTCAGGCAGCTTTTGAGGTTTTAACATTGGTTTTGTGCAATTTCATTTTGGTATATATTGGTGTAGTTTTCTTCATATTTCTTGTGCTTGGATTTGGTTGCACTTATTGGATTTCTGAATTCTAGTGTATGTCAAATAAAGAAAAATTTTGACAATTTTTTCAAATATTTTTTGATTCTCCACCCTCTTTTTTCATCTCATTTGGATACTTTTTTTTTTTTTAAAGATTCTATTTATCCATTCATGAGAGATACAGGCAGAGGGAGAAACAGGCTCCCTGCAGAGAGCCCCATGCAGGACTCGATCCCAGGACCCCGGGATCACAACCTGAGCCGAAGGCAGACACCCAACCCCTGAGCTACCCAGGCGTCCCTTATTTGGATACTTAAATTATGTGTATATTAGGCTGCTTAAACTTTTCCCACAACTCATTGATGATCTATTCACGTTTAAATTTTATGTCTCTGTATTTAAATTTGGGTAGTTCCTATTGCTATGTCTTCAGTTCACAAATCTTTTCTTCTGCAGCTTCTAATGTGCCATTCATTTCATCCAGTGTTTGTTTTTAAATCTTAAGCACTGTATTTTTCATCTCTAGAAACCTGATTGGGGTCTTCTGTATATTTCCCATTCTCTACTTAGCTTTTTGAACATATGGAATCAGAGTAAAAATCACTATTTAATGTTCTCTGCCGAAGTTAACATCTGTGTCAATTCTTTTACAGTTTTGATTGATTTTTCTCTTTATTATGGCTTGTATTTACCTGTTTCATTACTGCCTAACAATTTTTTAGTGGATGCCAGACATTGTAAATTTAACGTTGTGGGTGTTGAATATTTTTGTATCTCTAAATATCCTTGAGCTTTGTTTTGAGACATAGTTTTAAAAAAAATTACTTATTTATTCATGAGAGACACAGAGAGAGAGGCAGAGGCATAGGCAGAGGGAGAAGCAGGCTCCCTGTGGGGAACCTGATGGGGGACTTGATCCCAGGACCCGGAATCACGCCCTGGGCTGAAGGCAGATGCTCAACCACTGAGCCACGCAGCATCCCATGTTCTGGGACATAGTTAAGTTACTTCGAAATAATTTGATCCTTTCAAGTCTTGCTGTTAATATTTGTTATGGAGGATCAGTGTGGTGCTTATACTAGAACTATCTATTCCTCAATATTGAGGCAAGAGTTTGCTAGAAACTCTTCCCAATGCTCTCTGAGTTATACTTAAACTATGCCTGATCCTGAGGAAGTCCCAGGTACTTTCTTTCTAATTCTTTCCCCTGTTTTAGGTAGTTTTCTCACATGTATATGCTATGAAGTATAGTGATGGATACTCAAGCGAGATACTTTGCAGATCTCTGGGGCCTGTTCTTCCCATTATCTGTGCTGCAGGTTCTTCCTGCTTAGTCTTCCTGGACTCTCATCTCTGTCTTTTCACCTTGAGGAGTCTGCTGGCTCTGCCTGTGTTTTTCCTCCTCATTCTGGAAACTTTTTTAAGGCAGTAAGCTAGGACGATTTTAGGGTTTACCTTGTTTGCTTCCCATCTCTTAGGGACTGTAGTCCTTTGTTTTCTGATTTCCAATGTCTTTTAAAAATTGTCATTCCCTTTTGTCTAGGCTTTTGACTGTTTAGGGTGTGAGGGTAAGTCTGGCTCCTGTTACCCCATCTTTGTAAGAAAGGGTGGTAATATTTTCATACTGCAATTCTTGGTTCCAGAAATGGGGTAAAACTAGTAATTGGTCAGTTCCTTTGTCATCACTTGTTAGATCTTTGGGGTTTAATTGTTCTTTAGGTTTTCCCCACAACTCTCATCCACAGTTCCACCTCCTTACATGTCACTTGGTTGATATTCAGTGATTCCTAGTCTAAGCATACACACCAGAATCACTGGGATTGAACATCTCTGTTTCTATAAAATGTTTCAGGTGATGCCCTAATTTACCACTCCTCCTTTTCTTTTTGTTCTAAAAACCTGCTTTTAGGTCATACAGATGATGGAGGGAGATGAAGCATCTACCTGCTACTAGGCATAATAACAAAAATAGCTTCTAGTTTTTGAGCCCTTACTATGTGCCAGGCACACTGGGCAGCTATTTGTGTTTATTATCTTACATAACCTTTGCAACTTTTGTCCGCAGTAAATTCATTTTGTGGGAAGTGGGAAGTGAGGCTTAGCCCGTTGAGCGATTAGTGAAGGTCACAAACTAATAGAAATTAGATTAGTTGGGCAGCCTGGGTGGCTCAGCGGTTTAGCACCTGCCTTCAGGCCAGGGCGTGATCCTGGAGTCTTGGGATCAAGTCCCGTGTCGGGCTCCCTGCATGGAGCCTGCTCCTCTCTCTGCCTGTGTCTCTGCCTCTCTCTCTCTCTCTCCCTCTCTCTCTTTCTCTCATGAATAAATAAATAAAATCTTAAAAAAAATTAGATTAGTGTTTTGAGGGGATCTCTGGGTGGCTCAGCGGTTTAGGGCCTGCTTTTGGCCCAGGGTGTGATCTTGCATGGAGCCTGCTTCTCCCTCTGCCTGTGTCTTTGCCTCTCTCTCTCTCTCTCTGTGTGTCTCTCATGAATAAATAAATAAAATCTGTAAAAAAAAAAAAAAAAGATCAGTTTTTTGTAGTGATGCAACCTTCACAGGGCACTGGACTCCTCCTGTAATAGAAGAGGAGCTTCTCTCTCTGGGGCCAGCGGGTGACTGAGGTAACTCTGAAGCAGCTTTCTGATTCCTGGGAGAGACTAGGTGTTGATCTCCTAGGGGAGACTCAGTTCTAGTACTCTGATTCTCTGTTTCCAGGAGGAAAAATATCCTGCATGGTGAAAATATGGATTCCTATAATAAGCGTTTTGTTTTTCACCTAGTCGACTTATGGCTTTGCAGGAAGATAGAGAAACCAAGAAATGGAAGAAACAGGACATTTGTCTGGGCAACACTGAGTCCTGTGCCTTCCCAGGGCTGATCAGCACATACAGCAAATATATCATATCTTTTGCGGAAGATGAAGCAGGTAAGAAATATACAGGGTTATTCTGTTTCTGCTTATGGCAACTTAAATCATCACAGGCATTGTGAACTAAACATTTGTCATAATTATTATTACTATTATTATTGTTATTTAAATAGCAACTACACTTGTATTTTCACTATCAGTCAACTTTTTTTTTTGAGAGAGAGAGAGAGAGAGAGAATGTGTGATGGGGGGAGGAGCAGAGGGAGAGGAGAGAATTTTTTTTAAGATTTTATTTATTTCTTTATAAGGGACACACAGAGAGAGGCAGAGACATAGGCAGAGGGAGAAGCAGGCTCCCTCCAGGGACCCTGATGTGGGACTTGATCCCAGGACCCCAGGGTCTGAGCTAAATCAAAGGCAGATGCTCAGCCACTGAGCCACCCAGGTGCCCCAAGAGAGAGAATCTTAAGCAGGCTCCGCACTCAGTGCAGAGCCAGATGCAGGACTTGATCTCATGACCCTGAGATCATGACCTGAGCCAAAATCAAAAGTTAGACGCCTAACCTACTAAGCCACCTGGGTGCCCCATAGTCAACTTCTATAATATACCGGATACTGTTCTAAGCACTTTACATTTTTCTTTATGTTATTTAGTACTTACAACACCCCCATGATGTAATTATTATGCTTATTTCACCAGTGAGGCAACAGATCAAATATCCCTACTTCTTGGTTGAGGCCCATACCTCACTCTATGGGGCAAATCAGGCTTTATATTCTGGTCTTTCGTTCGGTCTTTTGACCATGAAGGAGATCCGTGTCCTGATTTTATCTAATCTGCAATCACAGGAACGAGGACAGGGCCAGTGGTGGGGCTGACCTCGTGACACTGATGTTTATCTTAGTGGTGCTGCCTGGGAGGAAGCACCTCTGGTGATCCTCCCTTTCCTGACCCTGCCAGGAGTCTGGGAGGCCAGTGCTATGAGTGAGCCAAGGAGAATTTCTTTCCTGAGAGATCTGGGAAATGGGTCGACAGTCAGCTAGGAGGCTATTCACTAGACAGATGAGGTATTTGTTAAGGGCATCGGCAGAGCAAAGCCTGTGTGCACGTATGAGAGACAGCCTCAGCTCTTCCAAATTTCCTCAAATTCTGTAATCAGAAAATGGATTTTTAATTTGAGCTTATTACATAAGTTATATTGCATTCTGAAAGATAAAATTTTATTTTGGGATGAGCATGGGGCCTATGATCTCTTTAGTATTTGGCACTGCATCCTAGCCATGCTTGGAGTCTCAGAAGAGAATAAAATGCTCTCTCAGGGTCCCTTCCAGACCTGGGCTTCTCTGTGAGTGTAAACCAGAGCCCTGAAGGTTTCCTCAGTACTGGGTTTCTTTCCACGCTGAGTCATGGGGTGCCTGTGCCAGACCTTGACTTGAGCAAGACATAAGGAGATCCAGTCGGCTGCTGGACCTTTTCCTAGCTTATAGTTTGGGATGAATATTTTAGAGGAGCAGAGGATATTTTAAAGAATTCAAGCATTCTTAATAGAGAAAAATCTAAGTAAATGAGTTCCAAATTGGAAGTCCAAACATACAAAAAAGGAGAGAAACCACAGGCTGGCAGGGTGATGCTCAGTGGAAAGTGGATGATGTGAAAGTGGATGGATGCTGGGATCTCTGGGTTCCCTGGTGGAACCCCTCAAGCCTGGTGCCCCAGGGAGGCTGGAGTCCTTGAAGGCTGGAGCTTGCTCTCCCTGGAGGCTGGAGCCCTGGAACCTGGAACCCCGGAGGCGGCTCTGCCCTGGGATCCTGGGCTGCTGTGTTCTGTGGCTTTTCCTTTTCGGAGGCCTCAGAACCCCTGGCTTTGCTGTGCCTGTAGGCTTCTCGCAGGAGAAAACAGGCAGCTTTTAAGTATCAGTCAGTACATCTGGCAAACAAAACTAAGTGTCCTTGGGAGCGTTGGTGGTATAGTGGTTAGCATAGCTGCCTTCTAAGTGTCCTTGGCTGAATTTTATCGAGTGGACTTGCCAGGGTGTTCCCAAGCCAGACTTTGCCCGATGGTCCTAAAGCCAGGAAGGCTGTTTTTAAGGCAAGTTATTTTCTTCCAGAGTTGCTTGCTGTTGTGTATTTGTGCAGAGTGATTCAGACTTTTTGCTCATGTCATAGCCTTTGCCACTTAGGGACATATTTTTAGATCTGAGCATTTTATTCTTATCAGCCACCAGCCATAGGCCCGTCCTTTTTGGTTGAACCCCCAGTACTGCTGTGGTGTATTTCCAGGTTTTGCTAGCTGACAGCTGGTGCAAATAAGTGACTGCGGAGGGGTGGGTACGGGGCTGCCCATTGCTGGCTGGGTCCCTTTGGGTTGGATTTCTGCATGTCAGTCACATTCTCAAGAGGGCTGGCTTTCAAAGTACAACTGCTTGCTGTAAATTTGCATCACACACATTTCGTTTTACATGGCATATTACAGTGTTTTGGGGTGGTCTTTTTTGATCCTAAAATATATTTTTAAAGTTTTCGGTTGAACTTTACAGATGAAATTTGCTTCCAGCATTGTTTTCCTCTAAAAATACAATGAGAAGTCTGTGGCATGTTTAGGACATACTTCTTACATAAACTGGTGTTGTTGGTGTAGGGAATATGCCACAAAGGGGGGTTTTCAATTAAAACAGGAATTCTCTGTATGGCTTAGAGGGGCTTCTGTATGATGGCACTGTGTACGTGCAGACACTTGGTAAGCCCCTCATTTATCTAATGGACAGTGCCCGGGTTTCCAATCAGAGGAGGCAAACTGGCTTTAGGGTCGGGTGTGTCCTAATGCCCCAGACCTCGTATAGGGCAGGATGATGATATAGTTCATGAGTACACAAAATCCAGAGTTTATTAGGCGGCTGTGCACAGGGGCTCTGCGAAGCCCGTAAGCCTTGCATTCAGCACGAGACAAATGTTGGTCACTGTCCTCCACAAATTCAAGGAAAAAAGTTGTGGAAATAATTCAGAGCTGCCTGAAGTTCTAGGTTTTTCCAATTAGCCATTTGGTAGACATTAACTTCCATGAAATTGAGAGAGAGCCTACAGCAAGTGAGTTCCATTCAGTGCATTGGCACAAATGTGACGGTGTAGAGGTAAAAAGGTAAGAGTAGGGATCCCTGGGTGGCGCAGCGGTTTAGCGCCTGCCTTTGGCCCAGGGCGCGATCCTGGAGACCCGGGATCGAATCCCATGTCGGGCTCCTGGTGCATGGAGCCTGCTTCTGCCTGTGTCTCTGCCTCTCTCTCTCTCTCTCTCTCTCTCTGTGTGTGTGTGTGACTATCATAAAAAAAAAAAAAGGTAAGAGTAATGGCTGATCATCGCTTTCTAGTATTTTTTTTTTTTAAAGATTAGTTTTTTATTTGAGAGGTGTGGGGAGGAGCAGAGGGAGAGGGAGAGAGAAAATCCTTGAGTAGACCCCCACTGAGTGTGGAGCCTGATGTGGGGCTTGGTTTCATGACCCTGGGATCACGACCTGAGCCGAAACCAAGAGTTGGATACTTGACTGACTGAGCCCCCCAGACGCCCCATCACCTTCTAGTGTAATCCCTAATAATCATGTGACGTATTTTGCAAATGAATTAATCCAGAACATCAGGGTTACCCAGGTTTAAAGTTTGCCCGAGACAACGCGGCCAGCAGCTGGTGTTGTCAGAATTCAGTCAGATGGCTCCAACTCCAGAGTTGGGCTCGTCCACCCTATCCCATCCTGTCCCTCACAGGTAACCGGGAGTAGAGGTGGAATGAGGTAGTGACCGTGGGCAGAGTGTGTTCAGACAGGGGTGAATGGGAGGAGCAGGAGACATGAGTAGAGGTGATTTCTGGAGGTGTGGAGAAAGCCAGCAGGAAGCCTGAAGAGTGGGAGGGTAAAGGGAAACCAGGGCCCCAGGGACCAAGGAAGGAAGGTGCAGATGGAGAGAAAAGCGAGGTGCAGGGGCAGTGGGGAGAGGCCCCTGTGGCCTGAAGAAAGGGCAATAGAAAGTGATGGATACACTGTCTTGACCTACAGCGATCTCAGGGTTTTTCAGAGAATCCTTATCAGTAGTAAGGAGATGGGGAAGGAAGTGGAGATTCGTTAAGGTGACGTTTCTAAGAGTAAAGCGATCATAAAGGGGGAGCCAGTTTAGTTCGGTGAACGTAAGCACAAATGGGCCTCTATGGGGTGCACTCTTAGGTAGCCTTTGGGGGCCCAGACAAGGGTTTCCTCCGTAGGGGGCTCACGGCCCAGTGAAGGCCTCGCTGTTGGGATTCCGGGTTTCCCTTCCTGGGGCTCTAACCCCATGTCGACAGCTTTCTCTTGTGCATCAGCTCTGTGCCTCGACCGTGTTCTTGATCGCCTGTTCCTGTTTCCTAGGGGAGCTCTATTTCCTGGCCACGTCTTACCCCAGCGCTTATGCACCGCAAGGATCGATTTACAAATTTGTTGACCCATCCAGGTGAGCTTTGGTCTCATTTTCTTCTTAGGCACATCTATATCAGCCCCGATCTTCATGGCAGATCATAAGAGCAGCCCTGGCTCCCTAGGAGTTACTAGAAATGATCAACCGAAACAAATCTCTGCTTTCGATAAAAAGCAGATTGGGCAAATGAACGTGTAGGACAGTGTTCTAGGAATTATGAAATATTTGGGATACAGTCTCTTTGTGGTGGGAAATGAGGACTGTGAGCTTTTTTTAGGATGACTAGCCTAGACCTTTGGCTCCTGTTTTTTTTTTTTTTTTTTTTTTTTAACATGTTTCTGGAAACTTCTGTCTGGGATCATCTAACAATGGGTGTATGGTTGTGACCACCTAAGTCAGGACTGTGGCCCTATCCCCTGGGTTTGGTTGAGGTCTCCAGGTCCTAGGCAAACATCTTTTTTATTTTTTAAAATTTAAAAAAATGTTTTAAATTGTTATTATTTTTTTTCTGCAGGAGCCAGCTTTTTTTTTTTCTTTCTTTTGAAAATATTTATTTATTTATTTATTTATTTATTTATTTATTTATTTATTTGCAGGAGCCAGCTTTGAAGGGCTCCTAGTGGCCAAATCTGGGACAACTTATTTATTTATTTAAGCATTTTTAAATTTAAATTCAATTAATTAACATATAGTGTATTATTAGTTTCAGAGGTAGAGGTCAGTGATTCATCAGTCTTATATGATACCCAGTGCTCATTACATCATGTGCCCCCCTTAATGCCTGTCACCTGGTTACCCCATCCCCCTCTAACCACGCTGTTTGTTTCCTAGAGTTGAGTCTCTTATGGTTTGTCTCCCTCTCTGATTTCATCTTGCTTTATTTTTCTCTCCCTTCCCCTATGATCTTCTGGTTTGTTTCTTAAATTCCACATCTAAGTGAGATCATATAATTGTCTTTCTCTGATTGACTTATTTCACTTAGCATAATGCCCTCCAGTTCCATCCACATCATTGCAAATGGCAAGATTTCATCTTTTTTTGATGGCTGAGTAGTATTCCATTGTGTATATAGACCACAGCTTCTTCATCCACTCATCTGTCAATGGACATCTGAGCTCTTTCCATAGTGTGGCTATTGTGGACATTGCTGCTATGGACACTGGGGTACAGGTGCCCCTTTGGGTCACTACATTTGTATCTTTGGGGTCAGTTCCTAGCTCTGTAATTGCTGGGTCATAAGATAGCTCTAGTTTCAACTTCTTGAGGAACCTCCCTACTGTTTTCCAGAGCGGCTACACCAACTTGCATTCCCACCAGCAGCATAAGAGGGTCTAGGCAAATTGGTTTTAATGGGTTTCTTGGTGTTTCCACCTGACCCTTTTTGGAATTCAGTGGCAATAGTTATTTGCTTGGTAGATTCCATTCGGTTTACTTCTGCTCTTTTGCCAACCTCTGTCAGAGGCTAACCGACTGCCCAGACCGAGGCTACTGTACAGCTTCCCATCTGGGAAGGTGTCGAGTGTGTGGTTGGGACCCTCCTGGGAGGGTGATGTAGCGTGTCCCTCTTGAGAGCCTGGGGCTGTGCATGGATTTATCTCAGGATTTTTCCCCAAAGCAAGAAAGTCTGCCCCACGATTCAGCTTGAAGACAGGCCCGCAGAAGAAAACTTCTTTGTGAGGCTACCTGACTCCTGTCTTGGGTGATGTTCAGAAGATGTGTGACAAATGGGCTGCACGTGGGTCAGGGCTCAGGGCTCAGGGCTCAGGAGCCAGGCCCAGCTCAGCACCGTTTGGAAGCTGAGTTTCAGTGTTCTCAAGAATTCCTGGAAGAAGCTCAGTGCCTGAGGCGGTGCCTGGGGTGCTCTCCTAATGGCACATGCAGGGTTCCTAAGGGACGAAGCAGGTACTGGGCTGGCTTCACTATGGGCTCCGCATATTTCCTGTGTTTTGGGGGAGCAAACCCAGGACCCAGTTAAAGCACCTCAGGCAGCAGATAATGGCTGGGCCTGGGGGGCAGTGCTGTCCTTTCCACTTGAAAGTTTCCTGTGTGAATCACTTTGTCTTTCCTTTGACAGTTTCCTGATTTGGCTAGGGGACAGTCTAGCTCCCTTCTATCATCAGAGCAGCCATAAAACAAGTGTAAAGCCTCTCCACACGGAAGACATCCCTCCTCGCTCACCTTTCTCTCGGGTTGACAGTTACTGAGATGTCACTGTGTGCCAGGCACTGTGCTGGGTGCTGTGCAGGGGGGCTCTCTCTCCCAGGGAGACAGGCTCACACCGTCACTCTACAGGGAAGGTAGGAACTGAGCCTGGCCACATTAAGTTACTTGCCTAAGGGACAGCTAGCAAGAGGGGGCCTGGGATGGGGACACTGTTCCCTTTGTGGGTCAGAGTCCTTTCAGCAGCTCTCATTCACTTGGGCTATAATCATATTGAGCTATACATACGTTCTGAGCTTCTCCAGTAGTGAATCCAGTTTTTTTGTTTTTAAGATTTTTATTTATTTATTCATGAGAGAGAGAGAGAGAAAGAGAGTGAGAGAGAGAGAAAAGCAGGCTCCATGCAGGGAGCCTGACATGGGACTCGATCCCAGGTCTCCAGGATCAGGCCCTGAGCTGAAGGCGGCGCTAAGCTGCTGAGCCACCTGGCTGCCCTTTTTTTCTTTTTTTGAGATTTTATTTATTTATTCATGAGAGACACAGAGAGAGAGACAGAGACACAGGCAGAGAGAGAAGCAGGCTCCATGCAGGGAGCCCAATGAGGGACTCGATCCCAGGACCCCGGGATCACGCCCCCAGCCGAAGGCAGATGCTCAACCACTGAGCCACCCAGGTGCCCTGGGTCCAGATTCTGCTCTGCTTACTTATTCAGCCTATCTTGCACTGAATGCACCTGTGCCAGCTTTCTGAGGAACAAATGATTTATTTCTGTGTGATTTTTTTTACCCCTTCCTTTCATCATTTCTTCCTGCTCTTCCTTGAGAGCCCGGGTTTGAAACTTGACTTTGCTACCAACTAGCTGTGTGGCCTTGCATCTGTTTCTTAATCTTTGTGTGCCTCCATTTCCCGTCTGTAAAATGGGGATCATGATGACACCTATCTCATAGATTTGTTATGAGGTTTCAGTGAGTTGGATTTATGAAGCATTAGTGCAGCACCTGAGCACTTGGTGTCCGTTATATAAATAAAATTACTTTTTTTCCCACCTGGGTTGAGGATGATAGCAAGGAGAGACTGAGCTGGAGCAAGGACAGCAGAAGAGGAGACAGTGGGACTGACTGGAAAGTTCTGTCTCTGCTCTGAATAGTGAGTGCTCCTAGTCTCCAGGGTCCGTGTTATTTCAGAAGATGCACCTAGGGAATTGCAGTTATGAAATTCTTATTCTAGTAGGCAGAGAGGCTGGCAATCCTTCAAGGGCTGTGCTGTGAGTTCTTTTTTTTTTTTTAAGATTTTATTTATTTATTCATGAGAGACACACAGAGAGATGCAGAGACACAAGCAGAGGGAGAAGCAGGCTCCCTGGGACTTGATCCAGGATTCCGGGATCACGCCCTGAGCCAAAGGTAGACGCTTAGCCACTGAGCCACCTAGGTGCCTGTGCCATGAGTTCTTGATAGAATTCTTTTTATAGAGAATCACCAACCACCATCACCACCATTATCACCATTGTTGTCATCTCTGGGGCACTCGTTATGTGTTGGGCACTGTTCCAAGTGTCGTTTTTTAAATCTCCTTAAAGAATAATTTTAGGAGTGACTTAATCACTTATAGTATGCCAAGTACACAGTTCTTATTTTTATTTTGTTTTTAAGATTTATTCATTTATTTAAGAGAGAGCAAAGGGGGGGGAGGGGAAGAGCGGGAGAGAGAGAGATCCTTGAGCAGACTCCCCACTGAGCACGGAGCCCCACATGGGGCCTGATCCCAGGACCCTGAGATCATGACCTGAGCTGAAATCAAGAGTTGGCCGGCCACTCACCCGACTGAGCCAGCCAGGTGCCCCACACAGCTCTTATTTATTCCTTCTAGGATGGGTACTATTACTTTTTCTGTTTTATAGATGTGGAAATTGATGCCTAGTAAGGTTACTTACCCCAGAGTTTGAACCCAGTTCTGTTACTATGCCGGTGCCCCTGACCTGCTCACTACACTGTGTCCCCAGAACCTGCGGTGTCCCTGTTCTTTCTCCCTCTCTGAGCTCATCACGTATTTCCTCCTCCTTCTGTCCCATCCCCATCGATAAAAGAGAACTGAAGCCAGTTCTTGCCGATGTGTGCCTTTTGGTGATCTTTATTTCCTGTCCCGTCTTCAGAATCTTGTGTCCTCCTCTTTTCTGTTTTTAGGCGCGCGCCCCCAGGCAAGTGCAAGTACAGGCCTGTGCCAGTGAGAACCAAGAGCAAGAGGGTCCAGTTCCGGCCGCTCGCCAGTGAGTCCGTCTCTGTCTCAGCCTCAGGCCTCAGAGCCCTTGTCAGAAGCGCTCCAGTCCTCCCCGGGTGGGAGATCTGTTTCCCACCCCAGCAGGTGCTCTGGATGAGGACCGTAACCGTGGCTCAGTCTATACCACAGTCCGCACACCGGGCAGTGCACGCTTCCACAGAGACCTGCTGTCCTCTGTCCATTCATCTCTTCCTCACTGGACACCATTCCTTTAGCACTGATTTTGCAGCCGTCACTGTGCTAATCCCTGGGGCTAATAGCCGTGAACCTGGCTTGTAGATCAGAGTCAAATGTAGCACAGGCAAATGAAACATATATATAGCACTGAGGTTCTGGTAGAGAAGGGTGTCCTGGGGAACGAGGGGCCCTTCGAGTGAGCAGAGGCAGGGTGGGGATTCAGGAAAGGCTTAGAGAGGAGCAAGACTATCTTAAGGGAACTATTCCAGAGCCATGGATCCCTGGAGTGACCCTTTAATCTATTTAAATCAAGGCCGGTCATGGGGCTTGAGCTCACAACCCCGAGATCAAGAGTCACTTACTCTACCACTGAGCCAGCCGGGCGCCCCTGAAAAGAATTTATGTATATATATTTTAAAGATTTTATTTACTTATTCATGAGAGACACACACAGAGAGAGAGAGAGAGAGAGAGAGAGAGAGAGAGAGAGGCAGAGACACAGGCAGAGGGAGAAGCAGGCTCCATGCAGGGAGCCCGACGTGGGACTCGATCCCGGGACTCCACAATCACGCCCCAGGCCGAAGGCAGGTGCTCAACCACTGAGCCACCCAGGGACCCCAAGAATTTATATTAAAGAGCCCTCATGTAGTTGTAGGTATCCGGGTGGTGCTTCCTTTAGAGTTTCCTTTCCAGGATTTCTGTTTCTCACTAAATAAATGTTTGTTTCCCAGAGACAGTCTTGGACCTGGTAAAGGAGCAGTCGGAGAAAGCTGTTAGAAAATTATCCAATGCAACTTCAGCCTCCAGCCCAGACCGGGCCTCACCCAGGAAAGGCCCCTCCAAGAAGCTAGCTTCTCCTACAAGCAGCAGGAAGATGTTTCAAAGGCCTGGTACAAAGAAGAGAGCCCCAGCAAGGTCCCTAGGCCCCCAGGGCAAGAGGAAGCGAGACTGAAACCCCGCCAGGGCAGGGGCAGGCAGTCAGCACATCCCAGGCGAGCTGGCAGGAGTCTCCCTTGGCCTTTTCCGTCCTGGTGGTTGACCTGGGGACGTGCCAGCGGAGAACCACCTCTCCGTGTGCAGGCTGCTGCTGCTGTTGAACTCAGGCCTTAGCAGTATGTGAGCTGGAGGTGGAGGTGGAGGTGGGGGCAGATGGAGGGAACTGCACCTAGGGCCAGTGTGGTTGTCCTCTGCATGGGAATCTTGCTCTCTGAATGGACGGATGCTCCACATCTGCTTCTGCCGGGAGACCAGATCCCACATTGCCGACACACCTGGCTAACCTTGTGCGGTGGTCTGGAAGTCCCACTGCGCATCTCTGCTGTTTTATAAATCCCTACAATCTAATGTAATAAATCAGTACTTGCTCAATCAGGTCATGTATCCTTTGATCTCTTGGATGTTTGTCTGGCATTAAGAAATCTGGTGCGCTTCATCATTTGGCCTATGAACCCCGTCTCCCTCTCTGGCCTCCATCCCAGGTCCAGGAGGAGGCCCATAGAGACGTGTTTCCAAGGAAAGTGTTTCTAAATTGGTCCCCTCCTTTCCCCAGGCTGCCGCTCACAGGCCGGCTCAGGGCGGGCTCCCGTCTGTAACTCCAGCGCCCACTAATTTGCCCTGGCAAATAGCATCGTGGACGTAATGACATTGAGTCCCTATGATGTGCCAGATTATATACATTATCTGAAACCTCAAAACCTTGCTGTTTATGTGTTGCCATGTAATTAATGCCTTTTGAAGAGGAGGAAAGTGAGGGGTTGTGAGCATAAGCTATTTGTCCTAGACCACAGCAGGAAGGGAACAGGGAATTGTTCAGCTGAACTTGAGCCAACCCCCCTGTCACTATCGTGCACCTGCCCCCCAGCAGGGCCCTCAGTGAGGGTCTCTCTGGCCTTTAACCAGGTATTTGAGGAATAAAAGAACTAAGAGAGGAAATGTTCCCCATCTTTAGGAAGTTCTCCAAATCCTGCAAATCATCCAGAACAGTGTAGGCAATTTGGTTTTCTAAGAAGAACAAAAACACGAAATGCCAGGGTTGTGGAGGACGTTCTGAGGTCACGTAATCACTGCTTTCCCCACAGTTGGATGTACCCTGCGCAGATTCTTTTAGGCTTCCAGAGAGGCAGATTCCATTTTTTTTCTTTAGCAATCTTTATTTGCAGGCTAACCTAACCTAATCTAAATACATGAGGCCTCTTTTTCATTCTTTTTCTCTTGTCCTGCGTTTATGAAAGATGCAAAAAAAACACTGGTCATCATTTTCTCAAGATCACTTCTAGATAGTTGTTTGTTTTTTTTAGCTTTTTCCTTTGCCCTTTCTAATACCTTTTGTTTTTCTTTACTTTTGCCTACCTTCGTAACTCGTATGAACACTCTAGGATAGACGTGAACTTTGGGATCTAACCAGCCCTGATATTTTACACTGTTAGCGTCTTCTCAGATGAAGACACCACCATAAACATGGGAGGAATTCTAACCTGGATTGTTTTGTTGAAAGATGGCTAAACATCCTGAGTCCGTTCGGTTGGTTAGACCCACCTCTTGAACAAATATTTGAACTCACTTGTCACGTTTTTTCTGTACACTTTTCCTTCAAAGACGTGGCAAAAATAGGGTGGGTCCTGGAAGTGTTTTGAGCTCTCAGGGGAAGGTGCTCAGAATTCATGTGTCCTTCAGGTTCTAGGCCGTCTGAACACAGGTTTTGAGTAGGAGGGTGTCGGGTCTAGAGAAGGGAACTGGACGGGTATCCCTGAAACACCAGGAAGCCGGGGGACAGGAAGCACAATTCCTCTCTGCCAAAGCGGTTTTCTTTTCTGGAAGATGGCTGGCAATGCCCGTGGGCTGTCTGGTACTATGAGAGAACAATCACTTAGGTCGCAGCCTGAGTGTTCTTGGCTTCCATGGAGGCTAAGGTGTTGAGAAGTTCAGAAAAAGGCACACAGGCTTGTGTTTGCTCTTTTCAGAGACTGGTTGGAAGGGGAAGGGGGAGGAAGTGTGAGGAGTGGTTATGCTGGAGGGAGAGGGGACGGGGATGCTTCAAAGGCATCTTTTTCCTGCTATGTTATTACTAATAGTATGGTATTTGAGGATCTGCAATGGTTTTGCAAAAAGGCATTCAGTGTCAGTGAAGCGCTGACCCTTCTGTGATCATTATGGATCTTGTTTTTGCACCAGTGGGGCCTATTTCCTCGGGCACCCTGAGCATTTCACCTCCACAGCATTCCTAACAGCAGCTATCCTGATTACAGAAGGGCCAACAACCAACAAAAAAGTGTGAGTGTTTTTCCAGACCTAGAATCTTGCAAGGCAAGATATAAAATCTTAACAACTGCATCATTCCCAAAGCTACCTCAACTGAAGAAATACATTCTCTTAAGACAAATACCGTATGATTCCACTTATCTGTGGAATCTACAAAAAAACCGAATAAACAAAAAGCAGAATCAGGGGATCCCTGGGTGGCTCAGTGGTTTAGTGCCTGCCTTTGGCCCAGGGTGTGACCCTGGAGTCCTGGGATGGAGTCCTACATTGGGCTCCCTGCATGGAGCCTGCTTCGCCCTCTGCCTGTGTCTCTGCCTCTGTCATTAATAAATAAATAAATAAACAAACAAACAAATAAATAAATATCTTAAAAAAAGAAAAAAGCAGAATCAGACCTATAAATACACAGAACAAAGTGACGATGCTGCAAGAGAGGAGAAGAGGGAGCCTGGGCAAAATGGGTGAGGATGAGTGGGAGGTGCAGATTTCCAGTTGCCAAGTAAATCAGGGCAATAAAAGGCATAGAATAGGGAATTAAGTCAATGATACTGTAATAGTGTTGTATGGTGACAGAGGGGGCTACACTGGCGCTGAGCACAGCACAGAGAAGTTAAATCACTATGTTGTACACCTGAATGTAACATTGCCAACGAAACTCAAGAAAAAAAAAAAAGAAAGAGAAAGAAAGAGAAAAAGAAAGAAAAGAAAGAAAGAAAGAGAAAGAAAGAAAGAGAAAGAAAGAAAGAAAGAAAGACATTCTCTTGCTCCTGTGGGGTTCAAGATTAGGCCGGGAAGATATTTCATATTAACCGATGCCATACTTCCTGCTTCCCAAACACGGGACTGGCTCTGGGAAACCCACACACCAGGGAGGCTAGGCCGCCCACCCATTTACCTGATGGGAGCCCGGGCTAAGAATCACCTTGAACTCAAGGTCACAGGCTCTCTAAAGCTGCACCGTCCAACAGAACTAGGGAAGCTGCATGCACACGGGAGCCTCAGATGTGATGGAAAGTGTTCCAGTAGCCACACACACACAAAAAAGGTAAGATTAATGTAATCATGTATTTTATTTAATCCAGCCCAGCTACAATATTACTTCGACACGTGATCAGTTAAGAACTAGAAGGGAGAGTGCAGCGCTCTAGCTGGTGCTGTGTCTCGCGGCCCCCGCGCCGAGCCCCACTGCAGGCCCCCTCTGCAGGCCCCCACTGCAGGCCCCCACTGCAGGCCCCCTCTGCAGGCCCCCACTGCAGGCCCCCTCTGCAGGCCCCCACTGCAGGCCCCCACTGCAGGCCCCCTCTGCAGGCCCCCTCTGCAGGCCCCCACTGCAGGCCCCCTCTGCAGGCCCCCACTGCAGGCCCCCACTGCAGGCCCCCTCTGCAGGCCCCCTCTGCAGGCCCCCACTGCAGGCCCCCTCTGCAGGCCCCCTCTGCAGGCCCCCTCTGCAGGCCCCCACTGCAGGCCCCCTCTGCAGGCCCCCACTGCAGGCCCCCACTGCAGGCCCCCTCTGCAGGCCCCCTCTGCAGGCCCCCACTGCAGGCCCCCTCTGCAGGCCCCCTCTGCAGGCCCCCTCTGCAGGCCGTCGGGCCGCGGAGGCCACGCGCTCCTTGGCAGACAGTGCGCGCTCGGCCCCTCCGCCCCGGGCCCCGAAGTACGGGGGCGGGAGGCCTGGACTGGGGAGACCCCCGCGCTCCGGCATTCAGGGAGGCCGGGGGCAGAGCAGGGCCGGCAAGCTCCGGCTTCCCAGCGGCCCGCGGCTGTGTACTTGCGGAAGCCGCTCCCCCGCCCGGTGCGGAGGGGCACGGCCCCGGGAGCTCGGCCCGGCGCGGGGCGCGGCTGCCACGTGGCGGTCACCGCGCGCTCCCGCCCCGGCCACGCTGGCCGCGCTCGGGACCCGGCGGGGCGGCGGGGCGGGGCGGGCCGGGGCGCCGGTGGGAGCCGGCGCGGCAGCGCCACCCGCCGGCCTCGAGGCGTCACTGCAGGCGCAGCGCCGGCCCCGCCCCCCGCCGGCGCTCCAGGCCCACCCGCCCTGCCCAGCCCCCGCCGGCAGCGCCCCCGTCGGTCGCGCGGCGTCACTGCAGGTGCAGCGTCGGTGGCGTCCCGGCCCCCTCCCCCGCCGGCCACGCGGCATCACTGCAGGCGCAGGGTTGGCCCCGCCCCTGCCCCGCCTCCGCCCCCGCCTCCGAGGCCCGCTCGGGCAACACTGCAGGCCCCGCCCCTGCCCCGCCTCCGCCTCTGAGGCTCCCTCGGGCATTACTGCAGGCGCAGTGTCCGCCCCGCCCCGGCCCCGCCCCCGCTGGCTGCTCGGGCATCGCTGCGGGCGCAGGCCCCGTCCCCGCCCTCCCCCTACCGCCGGCCACGCGGCATCACTGCAGGGGCAGGGTAGGCCCCGCCCCCGCGGCCCGCTCGGGTATCACGGCCGGCGCAGGCCCCGCCCCCGCCGGCCACGCAGCATCACTGCAGGCGCAAGGCAGGCCCCGCCTCGGCCTCGGCCCCGCCCCCGCTTCCGAGACCCGCTCGGGCATCAGTGCAGGCGCAGCGACAGCCCCGCCCCCCGCCGGCGCTCCAGGCCCCCCGCCCTGCCCAGCCCCCGCCGGCAGCGCCCCCGCCGGGCGCGCTGTGTCACTGCAGGTGCAGCGTAGGCCCCGCCCCCGGCTCCCTCCCCCGCCGGCCATACGGCATCGCTGCAGGCGCAGGGTAGGCCCCGCCCCCGCCCCGCCCCTGCCCCGCCCCCGAGGGACGTTCGGGCGTCACTGCAGGCGCAGGCCCCGCCCCTGCCCCGCCCCCGCCTTGCCCCCGTCCCGCCCCCGCCCCGCCCCGCCCACGGGGCCAGCTCGGGCATCACTGCAGGCGCACCCCGGCGCCGCCCCCGCTCCGCCCCCGCCCCCCCAAGCGCCCCAGGCCCGCCCCGCCCGCCGCCCCGGGAGCCCGCGGCGGACGCCCTCCCGCGTCCCCCCAGCCTCTCGGGATGCGGGGCTGGGGCTCGGCTTGCAGGGAATTGGAAACGAGCCCCTGGAGCCTCGCGTCTCCTCTGCCGGGGCCCGGGCGGCAGGTCCCGGTGGCACCGGGGTCGCCGAGGGCGGCTTTTTTGTCTTTTTCCTGCTGTTTGTGTAGGTCCAGGATTTTCTCTTCCGGGTCACCTCTAACGCCCTCGAGGACGCCCATCATTTGCATTTCAGGAGGAGTCAATTGTTAATCCTGCCCGAAGTAACGTTTTCGGAAATGGCTTTTCCATTTTGGAGCTTCTGTTCCGAGAAGAGGAGGGTTTATTAAAAAAAAAAAAAAAAAAAAAAAAAAAAAAAAAAAAAGCAGGCGCGAACAAAAGGCCCCAGCGAGGATCGAACTCGCGACCCCTGGTTTACAAGACCAGTGCTCTAACCACTGAGCTATGGAGCCTGCTCCTTACCTGGGCTGCTCCCGTTCAGGGACTTTGGAAGCAGTATTGCGTTAGCTGGCAGCCTGTGCAAACCACTGACCTCATGCTCCATTATCAGTGATGATCGGAAAGACTGTGAATTGCTAGAGAAAAGTGCCTGCAGTATGACAAGCATTAAAAAAAAAAATCCCAATGTCAAAGTCCTATGTCTAGGATTACAAAACACTAAGTTATGCCACTGACAAGGGCTGGCAGGGAACACGCAAAAATTGAATTGTGTTCTGGTCCCACTCTGAGTGGTTCTTTTACGTGTGAAAAAAGCCTGGGAGCCGTTGTTCATATGACACATTGTATCAAGTTTAGTACTTCCAGGGAAGTTATGGGGAGTGCCTTTGCTTATCATAAATTAGATAAGCTATTGATTATGGATGAATTAATGGGGTTAACAGTATTTATGGAGTCCTGGCACACCCCTGCACTTTGGAGATAGGGTGGATGAGTAAAGCTGCGTCCCTGCTCTTTCTTTAATGACTGGGATCATAAAACTATGCCTCATTCTTTTTTGCTTATTAATGAACTGTTTGCCCAAAGAATGAAGTTATGGTTACAGCATGACCCGTTCCTGCAGGAAGGAGAGAATGAAGGCCGTGTGGCCCAGTGCTCTGCGGGCCTCTCTCCTACAATTGTCTGCTCACCTGCACTTGCTCAACAAAACCCTTCCTGACCTTCTGTTTGAAACTGCATCATGGTCCTTATCCTGTCCCTTTTACCCCGAACTACTTTCCCATTAGGTAATGTGCTTTATTGAGGCCTAAGGGTTTTGTTTTATAACCAGAATAGCGTGTAGCACATAGTAGGTGCTCAATAAATGCTGAATGACTGACATCTATGTTAATTTTGTAAGCTAGGAGAAATCCGGAAAGTGCTTGGGGAGAAGGCTTCTCATCTCAATTCCACTTGCACCGCCTCTGCATCCAAGCTGGAATTTTGCTAACACTCTTTGCATTGCCACACGGTTCTGGAGGCTACGAGTCCGATTCAAGATGTGGGTGTGGGCAGGGTGGTTTCCTTTGGAGGGCTCTGAGGGAAGGACCCATCTCAGCCTCTCTTCTTGGCACTTATGGGCGGCTGGCTTCTCTCTGTGTTTCTTAACATTCTCTCCCCTCCGTGCGTGTCAGTTCTGTGTTCAAATTCCCCCACTTTAGGGGGATCCCTGGGTGGCTCAGCGGTTTTGTGCCTGCCTTTGGCCCAGGGCGTGGTCCTGGAGTCCTGGGATCGAGTCTCGTGTTGGGGTCCTGGCATGGAGCCTGCTTCTCCCTCTCCTCTGCCTTTCTCTCTCTATGTCTATCATAAATAAATAAAAATAAATTTAAAAAATATTCCCCCACTTTATAAGGACAACAGTCAGATTAGATTAGGGCCCCCCTCGCTTTAACTTGACTACCTCTGTGAAGACTCTGTCTTTGCATTGGTCACATCCTGAGGCACTGGGGTTAGGGCTGTCACTTGAGAATTTTGAAGGGACACAATTAATCAGTAACAAATGCAGGCAGGCATTTAGTTAAGGCAGGAGCAAGGCCTCCTTCATTCCCTGACTGCCTCTGTTAGCAGAACTCACCAGTAACCCTCACTTGCCTCCCCCTCTCTTTCCCCAGACAAATGATAAATCCCCAGCAGCCCCCCAGCAGGAGGAGGGATGTGATAGAAAAATGGAACCTCTCCTTCTCTCATCTCTAACTTGTGAACTGTAGGATAAAGCCTACAAAGATGAAAGGACAAGGTGAAGAAAAGCTAGGCAGGGTGGACATCCTATAAAGACTTCAGTCTGCTTTTGTGTAGCACGGCCTTAGAAGAAAAAGTCTGGGGGGGCTTTACATTGAATCCTAGGACCCCTCTTTCTTCTCCCTGTCCCCTCCTCCCTCCTGTGGGGGCATATTGAGCACTTAGCCATGCATCCACCACCTTCGAAATGGAGGTGATCATTTTGGTTCTATCTCACAGCAGTCCGGGAAATTCAACTCAATAATAAACTTGAGAGTGCTGGGAAATTGTGAAGTGCCAGAAGCAAACATGATAGGAAGGGGAGGCATCCTAGGATCTGGTTTAGGTGGAGGGAGAGGACAAGATGGAAACAGAAGTCTCAGCAGCATCCCTTTGCTGTTCTATTTCTTTTTGCTTGAAGGTGACAGTTTCCTTTGCTCACCCAGGCCCTCATTTTCTCGACAGGAGTCTGCTGTAGCCCTGGGGCTGGAGGAAGCAGGACAGATAGCCCCCCCCCCCCCGCAACCCCCAGCTTGGGGCAGTGGCTCCCACCCTCTCTCGCCCTCTCCTTGGACTCACTGTCCTGTGTCTTCTCCTCCTGGAAGCAGGCCATGTTCTGTCTCCAAAGTCAAACTCAAGGTCAGAGGGTAGAGGGTGTGAGGGTGCAAGGGCCAGGAAGGACTTCCAAGCTCATCTAGCCGGGCTTCATTTTGAAGACAGGGAGGCATTGGCCCAGCAGTGGAAGGGGCTTGCCACATGGTGCAGTGCAATGGTCACAGAAGGCACATCGCAGTTGGGTTGGGACTTTCCATGGTTTTTGTTTCCTACTCAAAGGTTGGCCAAAGAAAGTTAAAAAACAAAACAAAACAAACGAAGCACAAACACACATATAATCTAGCCAGCCAACCCACCACCCAAAACAGAGGGCAAAGGGGCTTTCTAAATTCATCCAAGAAAACGGTGGGCTCTTTAGTGCAGAACCTGGGGATGGGGGTGAGGTGGTGGCGGTGGTGGTAGGTCAGGACGGAGAAGAAGGGAAGGAGGTAGAGGGTCCTTCCTCTATTCTGGTCCCTCCCTACACCCACCCACAACCCAGCTAGAGGTGGAGGGCAGAGGATAGGACCCCTGTGGCCAGCAGAAACCCAGAGGGAAGGAGGACCAAAGCTAAAGAAGGAGAGGGGGCAGGAAGCAAGATGTTCTTCATGTTGCTTTATAAACCCAACACAGATTTACATGAAGCCGGCCACCTGGTCCAGTGTCTGAGCTCTTCCACCCCACTCCCCGCCAAGCCCCTTTCCCACTGTTGGATGGGGAGGCCAGAAGGAACCCAGGGCACAGACAAGGGGGCTTTAGAACTTGGGGTGCTGGGGTCAGGGACTCTGGTCCCAGCTGACCCTCTCCTCCCAATTGCCTGGATACTTGGCAGGAGGGGCTGTAGCACCCTCTAGAATAACTCAGGGCATAACCCTTCTCACCATCCCAGATGGGAAAGTCTTAGGGTAGACAGCTCCGAAAGTGGGTGGGCAGCTCAATGGTGAACGCCTGCCAGACTTAGGTGGGCCCAATGGAATGCACTCACTTATTAAAATCATTGTACCCAAATTCATCTCCTGGATATTGATCCTATCCCACACCAAATAGCCCTCTCTTGGGTAGGTTTTTAGTAAGATTGCAGGGTTTTTGGGTGGAATCCATGAAAAGACTGCAATTTTGCGTCTGGAGATAATGTGCACCAGCCGTGCAGGGATGGCATTGGGTGGGAGTGCTCAGCCACTTGGCAGTTGGACAGGGGCGACTGGTGGTGTTTAGGTTGTTCTGAAAGGGAGGAGTCGGGAGGGGTGAAGACTGAAGAGAAGGATGGAGAAAATGCACCCCCAGCCCCACCACCTTGATACCTGGCTTGCAGAACGAATTTACTAGCTCAAAGTCCTGTTTGGTGGGCTCCCCCAGCCTTGCGTGACCTCACTTCCAGATCCAAAGCAGGAAGCCGGCGGGCAGGGGAAAGATCTCGGGCCTTTGAGGTCTAGTAGACCTGAGTTTGAATCTGAGGACCTGTGGAGACACCTGGTCACTGCAGGGGGTGACCGGCCACCCCTGGATGG